CAAGCGCAAGTGGTTAATATACAACTTTAAAGCGTTGTAGATCCTAAACAATCATATAAAAATAAAATATGGGTGCGTGTACTTAAGTACGCGCGTGAGAAGTTATACTTCTTTTTGGAATTATTAAAAAATAGTTTTTAATTGCATGCAGATAATTAATTACAATAAGATAATAAAAGGATTGGAAAAGGATAGTCAACGCAGTCAATAAAGTTCAGTTTTAATTTGAAAAATTTAATTAATAATCAAAATATTCAATTTAAATCACTACTGAATTTAAGTTATTAGTCCATATGTAATTAGCACTTGTAAGTAACTAAAACACGTGGTGTCTATATAGAAACTAGAAACATGTGGATAAATATTATAAATATGAAAACAGTGATCAGAGGCGACGAGCGTGCCAACATTGTTTTTGACAACGCGATCATCTTATGAAGCTCCGTGGATCGTTCAAAGTACCTTTTGAACAGATGTCTAATAATGGTGGATTATTAACCACTAAGTGGTTAATGATCCACCATTATTAGACACAAACATTCATAACGCGCCCGCGGACAACTTCATGGTGTTACTATTGTGTTACAGTGATGCGCGCGCATCTCGAAATTTCACTCACATGAATTTTTCATAACGCGCCCGCGGCTAACTTTATTATGTTACTTTTGTGTTACAGTGATGCGCGCGTATCTTAAAATTTCACTCTTATAATTTTTTCATAACGCGGCTAAAGAAGTATAACTTCAATAAAAAATGGTGTAAGGAACCTAAATATAATTTTCGATTATCTAGACAATGATACCCCACTCGACATATTTTGTCAACTTATTTTTTTTACTTCGTCACAATATGGCGCCTAATTTTGTCCATATTGAATTTTGATTACTATCATATCTTTAGTAGCACTCCCATGATTGAGACGAATCGATTGATGTATGAATCATCAAAATCGGTCCAGGCGTTTGGTCTCTAGTGTGCCACAATGGAACAAACATACATATATATAGACTGTTAAACACTATACCCTGTCTGCGTGTCGCGCTTCGCGCTCTTGCATTGCGCATTCGGGTAAAAAGCAATCCTTGCTGAGTTTCTTGCCGGTTCTTCTCAGTACAAGGTCTCCCGCCGTAATTTTGCGAACCGATGGTGTAGTTTTGGACTTTCACATGTGAATGAACATCATTTATTCAGTTTAGGCTTTCACAAGGAAGCAAAAAAAATGCGAAAATCATTTTCGATTCAATTTTAAATTTAAAAATTAGGGCGATCGACGTGTTGTAATAAAACCCTTACTAGGGACCAAGCCCACCATTTCGATAGGGCCCTTAAAATTAGGTAGTGTAAATGCCGTTTGTATCATGCCGGCTCCTCACACGGATAACTTGACAACAGGTTTTCCTTTTCATTCACTCACTAAAGTTTGATAAAGTTAGAAATATCAGAACGTGTCGTGTCGTGTCGACGCTCTAACCCCTCTCTAACCCATAGTAAATGTATGAAGGTCGAAATAGAGAAATTCACGGCCGTAAAACTTATTAAAAAAAATGTATGAAACCGATACGCCCAAGAAGCTTATATACAACACTGGAGATTGCATGTAGAACTTCTGTATGAAGATGAGTTCATTAACCCCATGATATGTTTTTTATCTCTCTCACACACTATCTGAAATTACCATGTTAAATACAAGAAATTCCAATCAGAAAGTGAAAATAAACAGAACTATGCAAGATATCAATCAGTTTTACAATCTCCAGAAGTCCTACTCTTGTATTACTATTATAAGATGAGTGTGAAAAATTCTAACCAACTACTTTGAAATCAATATTTAAAACTAAATAATAAATACGCCCTTTATTTCCCTGTTTGCTGGTTGCTACCATTTTGGTATAATAGCAACACTAATTAAAAAATCAACTGAAGAATAGCTCCGATCTGTCAAAAAAAATCTACCGCTTCGAATGTTTAGATTATTATTAAAAAGTGTTAAATTGTTCAATTTGCTATTTATAATATGTATTGTGTTGTGTGAGATTGCAGAAGTGTTTGGGAACCAAATTCCAGCACTAAATTTCACAGGTAAGTCTATTACATTACGCCAATACCGAAATAAACATATTCCTATATTTTTATGTTGTAATCATAATAAAACGTTAGTATTTATAAATCATAGTGTCCTGAGGCTATAAATTAACGTTATTCTTGTTTTATTCACTACATTTGGTACCATATTCAGCAGTTTATTAAATTAAAATAATATAAATTTTGGTTTTGTAGGGTAACCATTATCACTACACTTGAGATATTTTGAGAAAGTTAAAATACATAAGTATTATTGTAAATAGTAATTATAAAGTTCAAAATATGAAAATAAGTTTATAATAAATACTGTAGTAGATCATGTTGATTAGATGTAGAAAACCTATTTAATAACAGCTATCTAGCAGCGGTCTTATACCTTTGTTTATGTTTCAGCTTCCCGAAAGATGTCATTAAAAGAAATTCTTGGTTGTCCATTATACTGTCACAAACGCTCTCGAAACGGAACCGCGAATGTGCTAGAGATCGAATTAGCCAGAGCACCGCGGGTCGCAATAGAAGTCGAGTAAGGCGGCTCATTCTAAAATGAGCCTTATGCAGTGCGACGTAAAGGAGAAAGTGCAACGATATCTGCACTTTTTTACAAGTTATGCGTGTTACTTGCGTAGGTATAAGTAGGTATTTCGTACTCGCGGGTGCTAGGTAATTCTCAATTTAACAGGTACTTTCTAGAACTTCGACTTTCGACGACCTCCGTGGTCGAGTGGTTTGTACGCCGGGTTTCATGGTGTCGCCGACTCGAGAGGTCCCGGGTTCAAATCCCGGTGGGGACAGATGTTTGTGTGATGAATACGAGCATTTGTACTCCAATCATGGATGTTTAATATGTATTTCTATAAAAAAAAATATACATAAATATGTACAGTTTATGTATTCTATCCGTTACCCTAGTATCCCATAACACAAGCCTTATAGTACTTACTTTGGGGCTAGGCTAATTGGTGTGAGTGTTGGAAATATTTATTTATTTATTTACTTTCTAGAATGCATCGATCGGCGTATATAAGGGCGATTGGCGCCGCGCAGAGACAGTTGAGTTTCAACAGCGATTTCGGAGCGAATCCAAAGGCGATCAAAGTGCAACAAAAGTGTTCAAGTGAGATTGTTTAGAGACTTGTATAGTGAAATACAGTGTTTAGTGAGTGTTTTGTAATTAACATTGTGTGTTAATTGTGTGAACTATGTGGTGAATAAAGAACTGTCAATCGTGAACTGGCATATAATTTCGAACCCCATCCCGACACGTAACAATACCATTAAAAGGTCAATTTTATTTATCAGCCAAAATATGTAGCTTAGAGATTCTAGTCCGTTCTTAGTAAAAGTCATTTCTGGCGATTTTAAAAAGGGTTTTGCATATTCTTTCTCGTTAATTTTTTTATAAACGTTTTTGACATGGCATAATATAAGACGCATCTAATATGAATAAAATGATTTTTGTACTTGTGAATTTTATTACTATTAAATAATGTGTTCCCAAGTTCCTATCAACTCCAACGCTTTGATTTATAAATTGTTTAAAGACGATACCAGTAAGTATGTATCCTAAACGTATATTCCAACATGGTCACCCTTAGAAAGAGATAACAAACATATGTGACGTCATTCAAGGCCATATTTTTTCACTTCAAGGTATTGTTTGCACTGCAATCTCCAGTGTTGTATATAAGCTTCTTGGATACGCCACGACATGTTAATATGTTTCTGGCTTATGATAATCTGTTCTCAAAATAATGCAGGCACTTCATTTGCTATCTGTGCTTATTTGGTTGCGTTCTCCCTTTTCAGAGAAGGCAAGGGGAACAATGCCCATACAGCCTCATCTTAAGTTAAATTATTCTGTTTTTCTTTTTACATTAGAATGTCGGTGTGACGCATTCTAATGTTTCTTGAAGTGTTTGGCACGAAATGTATCGAGCTGGCTTTTTCGATAAGCTTCTGTGAGGTAGTCAATACTACAATAAAATTCTCACGTCCACTATCGTATATTTTGACGATTCTACTAATTCTTACGTTACGCAGACAGTTGTAACACAAAATCACACCAATTTTATTTCACGATATTCACTACGAACGAATTTAAGAATAATTAAAATAAGACGCCAACCACACAATCCCGCCAAAAAAAACTATCTGTGCTTACTATTTTACATCTGACATCAGTTTTTCATTAAAAAGCATGACAAGGACAGATCGTTGTCAAGTTTACAAATAGTAAATACTTACTATATATAATACAAACTGAATAAATTGCTGATATAAGAATGACCTAAATTTTTGTAACAAACAGCAAATACTAATACCTATGAGAGTGCCAGCATTATTTGGCTATTGAAATGAAATGAAAAGTCATTAATTAAGTCTAGACTGTTACAAGCAATTGTGAAGGTCAAGAAACTACGCCATCGGTTTGCAAAACTACGGCATGAGACCTTGTACTGAGAAGAACCGGCAAGGATCTCAACAAGCTGTTGTTTTCTCCATGTATTGTTATATACAGAGTCGTCAAGTTGAAAAATAACTTCAGAGATACGTCTGAAGTCATCTTCCGTATTCATATTTGCCATTTTTAAACTTGACAACAGTCTTTTATTTTCATACCCTATCATCTTCATTCAGTTTGATAAGGAAAACCTACTGTCAAAATGACGGAAAGAGATATGAACTACGGCAGGTCGACAGCAAGCAAGCACCTTATCATTAATCCGAGAGTAAGCATAAACTGCACACAGAACAACAACAGAAAAGTAAATAAAAAAAATATAACATATAGAGCAATAATATGACAGGCTTTATGGACCATATGGATCCTTCGCCTTTCTCTATAGGGACTTTAAATAAAAAAACACGTTATCTCAATGTCAGTTTTCGCGCCCAAATGTTGGTATACATTTGTGCATTTTGTGCACTTTATCGCTGAAAAAATCTAATCTAATTTTTACTTTATTTCCAGCAATTCCAGACAAAAATCGCAGTATTTTCTTTTAACTCAGAAATAAATACTAATTGTTACTATAATATACTATTTTACCATGGAGGAAATTGATGAGTTATCACAGTTAGAAGAGTTGTTAAATGCTGATTTATGCGAAAATGCAAGTAGTAAAGTCAAATCCGTCAGTGAAGTAAATATTTTTGAAACCGAATGCAGCGAAACTGGAGCTACAACTTGTATTGCAGCAGAATCCATCAGTACTTCTGCTGTCCATAATGGTGACACAGATTCTTCAGATGACGAAGAAAAGCGTAATTATACTGAACGCAAGTACAACGACTATGGTTCTAATGTGAAAAAGGCTCTTGATCACAAGGCAGATGAACATTTGCATAAGAAAATAGAATTCGAAACGAGACTCCGCCAGACCAACTTAGACATTAAAGTTGAGCGTAGCAGTTCATTTAAAAAGAAACCGGCAGTAACAGAGGAAGATGTTAAGAATACCTTTTGTGTCCCAGAAAAGAAACTGCAATGTTCAGACGTATACACAGACCCAGTTTTCGGTATTCGCATTATAAAACCACTTATCCCAAGTACTGCTCTTCTGGATCGTATGCAGGGCCGTGAGGCAATTAACATGTTGAGGGTGAAGCGGCATGTTGAGAATGAAGATTTGTCCAAAGATTGGGTTACAGCCGGTGTCATTGTAAGGAAAAGCACAACAAAGAAGTCACAAAAAGGGAACCAATTTGTAATTTGGACACTGAGCGATCTAAGAGATGATTTGAAAACTGTCTCCATGTTTTTATTTAGAAAAGCTTATAATGACTTGTGGAAAACACCTGAAGGAACAGTTGTTGCAGTTTTGAATCCAAATGTTTTGGATAAATCTCAAAATAGTAATGATCAAGCATGTCTTAGTGTTGAAAACCCTGACAGAGTCATGATTTTGGGCCAATCTAAAGATTTAGGTGTTTGTAAGAGTAGAAAAAAAAATGGAGAACCTTGTACATCATTCGTCAATGTAAGCCAGTGTGAGCATTGCATTTATCATGTAAAACAAGAATACCAAAAATATTCCAGGAGACAAGAATTACAGTCTTCTACCATGGGCAAAGGACTAGTTAATTTACAAAATAAAGTTCTTGGAAAAAGTACTGTCATCTATGGTGGGAAATCTTATTCAGCCTTACCTCGAGCCAACAACAAAATGGTAAAGGAAAGAGATCAGAATAGACTGATGACATTAAGTGACTATTATAAGTCCGAAGGTGATAATTTAATGACAAACAAAGCGCCATTAGGGGCAGGTCCCCTAAATAAAGTGGGTGATATATTACATAGTCCTAAATTACAAAGGACAAGTGACTATGAAAGATTGAACAAGCTAACCAATTTGAACTCCAGTCCACAACATATTAATAAAACAGCATCTCACAGTACTAGCCTAGCCGAAAAAGTTGCTAATTCACCAATGCTTGGAAAAGGATTTGGACTCAAAGGCAGTGGTATGATAGATCTGAATATTTCTTATGGACAAAAAGCTGCGGAGAGAGCAAAATCTAATGCAATAAAATTAATTCAGCAAAGTGGTGGAATACCAAAAATTGATCCAAATAATACAAAGGGCACAGAACAGGGAAAGAAAAGGGCATTAGAAAAGTTAAATGTTCCTGGTACTGATGAAAATAAGTGTAAAAAGGCTAAACACAACAATGAAGAGCAAAACAAACCTGTAGGAATAAAGTCAGAGAGATTCAAGAAGATTCTGGAAGCTACTTCTGCTCATCAGAATTTGATTGAACAGCATGATGATGAAGAACAAGAGAAATATTTTAGTAAATTAGAGAAAAAGGAAGCTATGGAAGAGAAAATGTTAAACACTTTCAAGTTGCCTTGTAAAGCTGTGAGATGCATCAAATGCAAGTACACAGCATTTTCTGCTGCACAGAGATGCAAAGATGAAAGGCACCCATTGAAAATTTTAGATACACATAAAAGATTTTTCAAATGTGCTGATTGCAGCAATAGAACAGTATCTCTAGAGTTGATACCTCTTCATTCCTGTAGTAACTGTAAAGGATCTCGTTGGGAAAAAGCACCCATGTTGAGGGAAAAGAAAGGAATGTCCCAATCAGGTGGGTTGTCAATTAGAGGTGAAGAGGAAACATTCATTGGTGGAACTGTCAATGCTGGGAAAAACATTAATCTGTTGGTACCAGACAGCTGATAGTGTATTTTAAATGCTTACTATGTATACAGAATCAAGTAGGAATTTTTGATTATATCAAATGTTGAAGAATTAAATTATTATTAGATATAATCATATTTTAATATTATTATAACGTTTGCATCTTATTGCTCATGATGGTATGATTATTTTTAAATAATCGTAAAAACAAATTGCAACTTAAGTAGGGAGAGAAAGAGTTGACAACAAAAAACTTTGCTTTAATAGAATATCTGGACATATCTGTTGCTCGAAATCTTTATGGACTGAAAATAAAATACATATGAAAATAAAGCATAATATAATTTTTATTGAAACTTCCTGTCAATAACACTGACCCATTCTATAAAACGGTGTTCTCTATTTTACAAGATTCTTTATAGTAATCTCGTCACACAGAATAATTGTGGGAATAATATTTTTATAAAATTTTACACAGCTTTTGACAATAATTTCTTACATATTACCTTAATCTAAGCTACATACATGTTAGAAAACCGATCAGTGGAGTAGTGGTTAACAATAACATTCAACACCAATGTATCCTGTGTTACAGAAAATGTATTTACAAAACTTCATTCTTCATATTTACGCCAAATGTCGCACTAATAATTATTTATAAATATATTAAAATTCGAGACTTGAAAATATTTTAAAAACTTAATTTATTAGGGGGTGACTCCAATGATATTAAATACCTTTAAACATTACACAAGTTTTAGAATTCCATTGGCTCATGATCAATTAATTGAGTCTGAAAAAAAACACTTACATCTCAGGCAGCCCTTTACCAAATCTCGCAAATTGTCATTTCAATTGGAAAGGGGGTACAACGATATAGCGTAGTTCTTGCACAAGTGCAACAGATAGACACTTCATTACTTATGGCGGGAAGTCAAAGGGTGGAAATTGACATGCCCATAGGCTCAACTCACACTGGCGCAGAGTCGAAGCGACGCCTTATGCGTTTCGCCTGTAGCAATTCATATCTATTTTCCCACTATTATTCCCACTTATACGATGCTTAATACCAGTAGGCTTATTCGCTAACAGTATCGAGATTTTTACTGATTTAGGGCGCTTTCATTTTATGCGTTTCTCGACGGCCTGCTGCGGTGCCGAAGCGGTGCGTTTGTCGTACATCGTACGGACGATCTTATTTTTCATACAAAACGCGCGGTGCGGCAACACTGCGGTGCCGGTACCGCGAACGCTCGACAACAGGACTGTTGCCGCACCGCGCGTTTTGTATGAAAAAAAGGATCGTCCGTACGCTGTAAGACAAACGCCCCGCAGCAGGCCGTCGAGAAACGCATAAATTGAAAGCGCCCTTACTACCTTATATAAAACCACTTAGTGCTAGTCGTCCCAAAAAGGATCGATGGATTTGCAATTTTTACTTCAGTTAGAAACAGTAATGTCAATAAGTTAACGAATAAGCCTACAGATTTTTCGTCTGTAGCAAATTCATCTCCATTTTCCCACTGCCAAGGTACCTATACCCAAGGCGAGGCGATAAACATGCCGCGTCATGTCGCTTTCATTCTGCGCCAGTGTGATTTGAGCCTAACAATGATGACTTGTTATGGTATTCTCAAAACTTCTTCGTTTCTTCTGCGCCAGTATGAGGCTGGGCCTTAAAATAGCCAGTTTAGCGCTACGCTTCTAGGGCTAAGAGATTGTTAGGGTGCAAATAATAACGACTGTGAGAACACTGCCGTAGCTGCGTTCGTTCAGTAAAAAATGATAGGCCAGTAAGCGTATCATTCCCACTTGGTGGTGGCGGGCGGTTTGGCCGTCAGATCGTACGGCACGTTCATTTTTTTGATCATTTAAATATTTCCCCTATAAAAATAACCATATCTCAATCGCTCACCAAAACCGTTCATCCGCAGGTGGTAGACAGAATGCGGAGGGAGCTACACGCGCACGCTCAAGTAGTCCTCCGCAGCGGACGGTGGGCAACTAGGCCGCGTATTCAGCCCCCATGCGCCCCCCATCCTGCGCACGTCTGCGGGGTCCCCGCAATACCTCGGGAGACCCCTGCCATGGAGCCCCGGCTAGGCAGGGAGGCTGCCGGGTGTGGAAACGCGGAAGAATCCCTATACGGGGATCCCGCAGTTTCGCACTACGCAGCTTAGAGGGTATTCGCAGGGTTTTTTAGCGGATATTATTATGCCGTAAAGCGTCCGTAAGAGTTACAGGGTCCTCAGTGGGCAGCCACTGTAAGGTTTGCGGGAGCCAGGTGTGAGGTCCGTTCGGTGGTGTGCCTCTTAAATGTGCCGTCGTCTGTAAACAGAGTTTTTGCCTGCGTCACAAAAAAAGGTGGTAGACAGAATGCGCAAGGAGTTGAAGGGAAACTTCTTAAATAACCTAACATTAGGCGGTGCATAATGCATAGGGGAATGGAGCTGCACACGCCTCTCATACAATATCTAGTTATATTGTCGCGTGTGACGCTCGTAGCGTTTCAGCCTTCGCCACTCACGCACGCATCCCACTCACTCACACATCCTATATATAGTCGTGTGACACTCGTGACGCATTTTCATTTTTTCCATTTTACACCCCGCGCGAAGAGTAGTCTCACTTCAATAGTAAATAATCACAGGTGTGCCTTTTTTACTCTAGAATAGTAAGATGAAACGGAAATTACTTCTCATCGAGTGGGATCAGACGATTTGCAGCTCTCTAGTGCCAACAGTCACCAAGCAAAACTTCGGACGGACAAACGGACATGACGAAACAATAAGGGTTCCTTGTCAGGACTATGGAACCCTAAAAAAGACGTTAAGCTGAGGGTAAGTTAAGAAACTTTCGCAATGGCCGGTCATAGGCTGGGTGACTAAAAATGTACATCTCAAACTCCTCTGTGTTTTGGAAAGTTGCATCTGCAGTCATTAGTTGATCAAGTACTAGTGAATGATGCAGATGCAACTTTCCAATCCTCATAAAGCGGGCGTGGTGTGGCTCAATCTCCCTATACGATCCGTACGGAAGGCTTGTGCCCCAGAAGTTGTTTACTGTGTTGTTGTTGTGCTTAGTTTGTGGCCAGGTGATTGTTTTACGTGTGATAGTGTTCAATATGGCAATGTTCGCGTCCTGTGGCATAACAATGGAGCCACGCAGCGAGTTGACGCCGATAATGAAGCTAACTTCTATACGCTTAGTTTGTGGTTAGATGAGTTTTTGTGTATAAAAAAACACACGTCTTGTCAATATCAGTTTTCGCTTCTAACTGTTAAAGCATTTGTGCACTTTATCACTCGCTTGACATATCTTATCACTGAATGAAGTAATCTAATCAATTTTTTACTTTACTTACAGCTATTAATCACAGTATTTTCTTTTCACTCAGAAATAAATACTCATTGTCTATTTTACCATGGAGGAAATTAATCACATATCACGGTCACAAGAGACTGATAGAAAAATCGTCAGTGAAATAAACATTTTCGAAGTCAAATGCAGCGAAACTGAGACTACAACTGATATTGCAGCAGAATCCATCAGTGCTTCTGTTGTCCATAATGGTGACACAGATTCTTCAGATGACGAAGAAAGGCGTAATTATACTGAACGCAAGTACGACGATTATGGTTCTAATGTGAAAAAGTCTCTTGATTACATGGCAGAGGAAAATTTGAATAAGAAAATAGAAATCGAAACGAGACTCCATCAGAGCAACTTTGACAGTGCAAAAGTTGAGCGTAGCAGTTCATTTAAAAAGAAACCGGCAGTAACAGAGGAAGATGTTAAGAATACCTTTTGTGTCCCAGAACAGAAACCGCAATGTTCAGACGTATACACAGACCCAGTTTTCGGTATTCGCATTATTAAACCACTTATGTCAAGTACTGCTCTTCTGGATCGTATGCAGGGTCGTAAGGCAATTAGCGTGTGGCAGGTGAAACGGCATGTTGAGAATGAAGATTTGCCTAAAGATTGGGTTATAGCTGGTGTCATTGTAAGGAAAAGCACAACAAAAAAGTCACAAAAAGGGAACCAATTTGTAATTTGGACACTGAGCGATCTAAGAGATGATTTGAAAACTGTCTCCATATTTTTATTTAGAAAAGCTTATAATGACTTGTGGAAAACACCCGAAGGAACAGTTGTTGCAGTTTTGAATCCAAATGTTTTAGATAAATCTCAAAGTAGTAACGATCAAGCATGTCTCAGTGTTGGAAACCCTGACAGAGTCGTAGTTTTGGGCAAATCTAAAGATTTAGGCGTTTGTAAGAGTAAAAAAAATAATGGAAAACCTTGTACATTATTTGTCAATGTAAAACAGTGTGAGTATTGCATTTATCATGTAAAACAAGAACACCAAAAATATTCCAGGAGACAAGAATTGCAATCTTCTACAATGGGCAAAGGACTGGTTAATTTACAAAATAAAGTACTTGGAAAAAGTACTGTCATTAATGATGGGAAATCTTATTCAGCCTTAACTCAAACCAACAATAAAATGGTAAAGGAAAGAGACCAGAATAGACTAATGAAATTAAGTGACTCTTATAAGTCTGAAGGTGATAATTTAATGACAAACAAAGCACCACTAGGGGCAGGTCCTTTAAATAAAATGGGTAATATATTACATAGTCCTAAATTACAAAGGACAAGTGACTGTGAAAGATTGAACAAGCTAATCACTTTGAATTCGAGTCCACAACATATTAATAAAGCAGGCCCTGCAGAACAAATTGTTAATTCACCAATGCTTGGAGGACTCAAAGGCAGTGGTAAAATGGACCTGAATATTTCTTATGGACAAAAGGCTGCAGTGATAGCAAAATCCAAAGCAATAAAATTAGTAAAGCAAAGTGGCGGAATACCAAAAATCGATCCAAATAATACAAAGGGCACAGAAGCTGGCAAGAAAAGGGCATTAGAAAAGTTAAATGTTTCTGGTACTGATGAAAATAACTGTAAAAAGGCTAAACATAACAATAAAGATGAAAACAAATCTGTAGGAATAAAGTCACAGGGATTCAAGAAGACTATGGAAGTTACTACTGCTCATCAGAATTTGATTAAACAGCATGATGTTAAAGAACAAGAGAAATATTTTAGAAAATTAGAGAAAAAGGAAGCTATGGAAGAGAAAATGTTAAACACTTCCAAGTTGCCATGTAAAGCTGTGAGATGCATTAAATGCAAGTACACAGCATTTTCTGCAGCACAAAGATGCAAAGATGAAAGGCACCCATTGAAATATTTTGATACACATAAAAGATTTTTCAAATGTGCTGATTGTGACAATAGAACAGTTTCTCTGCATTTGATGCCTGTTCATTCCTGTAGTAAATGTAAATCTCCTCCTGTAGTAAAGGATCTCGTTGGAAAAAAGCGCCCATGTTAAGGGAAAAGAATGGAATGTCCCAATCAGGTGGGTTGTCAATTAGAGGTGACGAGCAAACGTTCCTTGGTGGAACTGTCAATGCTGGGAAAAACATTAATCTGTTGGTACCAGACAGCTGACAGTGTATAATAAAATGCTTACTATGGTGTTGATTCTGGCATAATTATCTAAATCTAAATTTAAATTTGACAACCGTAGAGTATCCTTATCATTCTCTACGTAGAATGAGAAGGAGAGACTGTTAATAAATTTAGAGAATCATGTCAGAATCGACACCTTTGTATAGCTAATTAAAGAGGAATGTCTGATTATATCAATGTTAAAGAATTAAATTATTTTTAATATATAACCATATTTTAATATTATTATAACTTTTGCATTTTATTGCTAATGATTGCATCATTATTTTTAAATAAATGTTAAAACAATTACAATTTGCAGGGAGAGAAAGAGTAAACAACAAAATATATTGTTTTAATAGAATATCTAGACATATCTGTTGGTCGAAATCTTTATGGACTGTAAATAAAATACAATATGAAAATAAAGCATAATATAATTTTTATTACGAAACTTCCAGTCAATAACACTGAACCATTCCATAAAACAGTGTTCTCGATTTAACAAGATTCTTTATAGTAATCTCGTCGCGCAGAATAATTGTGGGCTTTTATAAAATTTTACACAGCCTTTGACAATAAATTACTACATACATGTTACAAAACCGATCAGTGGAGCTAACAATAACATTCAACACCAATGTATCCTGTGTTACAGAAAATGTATTTACAAAACTAAATTCTTCATATTTACGTCAAGCAGTGGTCCAAATGTTGCACTAATATTTATTTAAATATATATTAAAATTTGATAAAAGATTTACAGGGCGCAACAGAAATAACCATATTCTCTTCATTATTTATTAAAAACATTTTAATAACAAAATTTATTAAGGGTTGAAAAATTAAACATTACACAAGTTTTAGAATTAAATTGGCTCATGATCAATTAATTGAGTCTGCAAAAAACACTTACATCTAAGGCAGCCCTTTGCAAAATTTCGCAAATTGTCATTTCAATTGGAAAGGGGGCACAAGGAGATAGCGTAGTTCTTGCACGAGTGCAACAGATAATTAGGCACTTTATTACCTAATTATACTTTCCCAATACTTAGCACGTACAACATTTAGTAAGCCTCTGCAGGACAATATGTACAAAGTATAATACATAAAGGCGGGAAGTCAAACGGTTGGAATTGACATGCCCATAGGCTTAACTCACACTGCCGCGAGTCGCGACGCGTCATGCTTTTCGATAGTAGCAATTCATGTCTATTTTCCCACTATTTAAGTATTCCCACATAAAGGATGCTTCATACCAGTAGACCTATTCGCTAACAGTTTTCGACAGGCGGAAGTGATTACCGAGCTTTTTACTGATCCACTACTTTTCATAACGCCTCTTAGACTCCTACTCGTCCCGAAAAGGATCGATGAATATGCAATTTTCACTTCAGTTTCAAACAGTCAGTCAAAAAAGTTAGTCAATAGGCCCATACAGAAGTTTCGCCTGTAGCAAATTCATCTCGCATTTTCCCACTGTTAAATTATTCCCAAAGCGAAAAACATGTCACGTCGCGTCGTTTCTTCTCATAGAGGTATAAGAATAGTGTGGAGAAGGCGGCTCTCAAAGTGTCCGTCCAGTAGAAAAATCATCGCATCGAAATAGTAAGATGCTTACTGTTGCCAATGCGCATGTGCGACTAGAGAGAGAAAGCTAGCGGTCTCTCATCTTCGTTCTCTTTCTATTAGAGGGACACTTCCACTTGTAGTAGAGTCTATATATCCCCTAGTCTATTCTTATAACTCTATGTTTTTTCTGCGCCAGTGTAGGCCAAGCCTTACAATAGTTTAGCGTTACGATTCTAGGGCTAAGAGATTTTTAGGGTGCAAACAATGAGGACTGGGAGGACCACTGCCGTAGGTGCGTTCGTTCAGTAAAAAAAGGTAGGACAGTAGGTATATCATTCCCACTCGGTGGTGGCGGGCGGCTTGGCCGTCAGGTCGTACAGCACGCGAGATATGCCCGGCACGCTCATCAGCTCCTTGCGCATTCTGTCTACCACCTGCGAAGAGAAGGTTTATCTCACTTGATCGGCTTTATTATACAGGATGTACAAAAAACCTATGACAAAGACTAAAACAACGCATTCTGTACACTCAAACAAGTTATATTACAAAATATTACACGTGGGAATCATTAGTATTTTTAAGTTAAAAAAATACATATTTTTATTCTAGTACGCAACGTATAGCGCGCCGCGCAATTTAGGCGCTACGCAAATAATGTGCCTGTGTGTAAGTGCGTCGATAAAAAAGTTTCTAAATAACGTTTTGAAAATATTAATGTTTCTTTGACCTTAAATATCTCCAAATCATATATTTCCCAGGTATGGTCCAGAAGAAAAAAAATATCGTCATGATGTGTCGGGTCTATTAATGAATGACTGTTGCTTCTCAGTACGTCCATGAAAATTTTATGTATATTCGAAAAATATTACATTATTTCCTATATATAGTGATAAGCACTCGTTTCGCTCGTTTTTTTCAACTATTTTTCTCCACAGCTAAAAAACTATATCCTTAACTGGAAGTTGGCAAAAAAATATGGACGATACAAAAGAGTTGTATTGTGCATCCAATTTGAATAAAGATATTTTGACCTTATGTTTTTATTTCTTTTTAAGAATTTAACTGCTAGATGTTTAAATCTAAAGAGAAGTTTACTAGAAAAAATCCACGCGGACCAGGCAGCGGACGGGACTCGAACCAGCACCCTTCGCTATCCGGACGAATGCACTGACCATTATGCTACCACGGCCCTATTCGCCGCGTCGAAATTTTCCTAGCCTTAAGCTGCAAGGCAGCGCCATCTCTTCGCATTGTAGGTAACCCACAATGTCAAATGAGTACCTACTTATTAATAAAACCTATTATGAAGTGTCTTATTATATTTCAGACAAAAATGCTTGGGTTTAAACTGTTCCGACAGACTTTTTCCATGATTATGATGAAGATGAAATGATTTTGTATTGACACTGTAACAATATAATATTTTGTAAATACTGTTACATAATTATTTAACACTGTGAAGTATTTTTCGCCAGATTTTCTCCACAGCTAAAAAAATTGCCCTTAACTAGAGGTAGGGAAAAAAATATGGACGATTCTAAAGAGTTGTATTGTGCATCCAATTTGAATAAAGATATTTAACTTTGACTTATTTATATTTTAGATATAGGTAGCGGTAAAGTACTTGAGCAAACAGACTAATAAACTGGCGCAGTAGACGTCAGATTTTTGCAGGCTGGCTTCCTTGTCTATCTATGGTCGCTGCTCAAGAGGTTTTCCGAGCGTCTTGACAGCAAAGTATTTAACAAGTTTTGTAGTAAATATGATAAATCGGAATTTAGAATGACATTTTTTTTATTTCAATCAGAAGTCTGATAAAGCACAACTGAGAATAGGCCAACAGAAATCAGAAATCAATATATCTTTATTCAAATTGGATGTATAATACAACTCTTTTGAATCGTCCAAAAAATTTTTTTCCCTACCACTCGTTATGGACATATTTTTTAGCTGCGAAGAAAAACGAGCGAAAAAAACTCCACAACATTAAAAGTCTAATATAACAACATTTACAAATCATTATGTTGTTACAATGTCAATACAATTATGATTTATTTAATATAGAAAACCTGTTGGAATGATTGGAACAGTTCAAACCCAAGCATTTTTGTCTGTAATATAATCAGACACTTTGTAATAAGCTATTTTAATAAGTGTTTTTTTTTTATAATATCTTTAAATTTATTTATGGCTAACTCTTGGATATTGCTTGGGACTTTATTGTATAAGCGAACACAAAGACCTTTAAATCAACAAGATGAACATAGCTAAATCGCCACAATTTTCTTAGCGTGCTTTTTGTCCTTGTGTGTGCGGTGATATAACGCTGGCAGGACGCGGCTCGGACGGCGGCGTCGCGGTCGAAGTCGATCGGGATGAGGACTGCAGGCATCTGTACTATGTGCGGTGATATGACACTCACGTCCTGCGGCATCGCGTCGCAGCCCGGCAGCGCGGCGACGCCGGTCATGAAGTCGGCGCTGAGGAAGGGGCGCAGCACCAGCGAGCGCTGGCAGGACGCGGCTCGGACGGCGGCGTCGCGGTCGAAGTGGATCGGGATGAGGACGACAGGCATCTGGGCGATGCGGCCCGCGTAACCGCTCGATATCAACACCTGCGATTTGTTGACAGGAATATAACGACACTGTAAGGGGCTGTCCATTACACGTGAGGCTCAAAAAGGGAGGGGTCCATAAAAAAAACACGAAATATCACAAGGGAGGAGGGGGGGGGGGGGGGGAGGTGTAGTAATATATTAGGTGTATTTCTGTGATCCGAGGATACTGTACATTACATAATGTTCATTTATTAGTACAAAAAAGTTTTTCGCATTTCTTTTATTATTTTTATGTCAGTGCAAAGAAAAAGTCAAAAACAACCTGCAACATCAATATTGCAGGTAGTTTTTGACGTTTTCTTATTTTTTTAATATTTATAAAATACAGGTATAAAGTATCAACTTTATTATTTTATATTTTATAAATATTAGAAAAAATAAGAAAGGTATATACTAAAAAATACACGTGATATTGTTACTTCAGCACAGCGCAGCCCAATTTCAATCAATCATCCTTAACGTGTTTTGAATTTATATTGCTAACACTACTATACATAATAACAAAGTTATAAAGTAAATAAAAGTAATGAGAGAAATCATCTATTTGCAATTTTCATGAGCTTGAGGCTCACTTTTTGCAACTTTCAACTGGCTACAATGTAAAAATGAACTCTTCTTTATAACAAACCTGTGTAGCTATGTCGTCAGCTTGACGTATGGTTGAGATGACATGCTGTGACAGGAACGTCGGCGTGATGTCTGTCACTTGCTCTTTGATGATGCCGCCGAAAGCATAGCACACCCTGTATAAAACGGATTTTTTATAAAACTATAATTTTCACTATTATTGCAGAAAATTCTTCGTAACCTCAATTTGGCGTGAAGTTGACAGGCTAATCGAACAGCCAAGCGACAGGAATTTTCCAGACAAGGGGATGTTTATTCATGTGAAGAATCATGATTAAAGCTCAAGACAGCTATTAATATCGTTGCATTGTGGTCTTTCTTGGTTTCGTTTACCATGAGTATTCACCGATGTCGATACTGGCATGATTCTCTAAAGCTAAACTTAAATTTGACAACAGTGCATCCTATTCATTCTCTATACAGAAATAAAAAGGAGAGACTGATGTTAAATTTAGTTTTAAGTTTAAAGAATCGCGCCAGAATCGACACCACTGTGATTGATCATGGTTCTACGGTCTCGCTTTTACTACATAAATACATGAAAAAGTTATTGTCGCTTAACTTTAACGCCTAAATTGCTTAATCTATTTTGGTAAATATTGGAGATGAAGGGTGCGTATGAGCAGGACGTAAGACTCCTTTTTGTCACTATAATAAATAAAACTTTCAGAAATATTATGGTAGACGAATGTTTAGAATCAAAACCTATTATTTTACACAAATGAGGTTTCAGGAATCCACTAGTCATCACTTTACAAATTAATATTAAACTTTGCATACAAAATATACATAATTACGTGAGTAAAGGCGGACTTATCTCTATGAGAGATCTCTTTCAGCCATCCAAGGTTTAGAGAGACATATGTATCATTATAAGTATTTCTATCCCATAAATCAAACTTAACAGCCCATAGTGCTTACTGTGGGGTTAAGCTAATTGGTGTGAGCGTAACAAGTATTTCATCATCAGAGTATTAATGTCCCCACTGCTGGGGCACAGGCCTTCCCTATGGATGGAAAGAGAGATTGGGCCATGACCCACCACGCGGATCCAGTTCGGATTGGCGGGTGCTAACGACTGCAGCTGCAGCCGGGACCAACGGCTTAACGTGGGCCTTCTGAAGCACGAAGGAACTTGAGATAGAAGATTTTTGGTCACCCATCCAATGACCGACCACTGCCGAAGTTGCTTAACTTCAACGATCGCAGCTGAACGCGCTAACAACCTGCACCATCGAGCTTCTTTAAAATTATTTATATTCTACTAGTGGCCCGCCCTCGCTGCGCTTCGGTGTAGAGCTATTCGAATTTTTCTTACCTTTTAAACCTTCTCTAGACCACCACGAACATTTCAAGCCCAAGATAAGATAAATCCGTTCAGCCGTTCTCGAGTTTTAGCGAGACTAGCGAACAGCAATTGATTTTTATATATATACATATAGATAAATATTTATCATTATTCAATTTACCTGTTGACATTGTGGCATACGCGGGGTATGAGTTTAGCGAGGTAGAGCATATCCGACCAGTCCGGTGGATAACGTTCCGTTGACAACGCGACTGCATAACTGTACGTCCTTCCGTCACCTGTAGTTCAAATATTAGGTATTAGTAGACATTGGATTTTAGCACTATCCAAGTGCCAAAAGCAATCAAACTCGGCACAAAAAAATTGAAACTTAAAAAAATCACCTACAACCAAATTAATCTAAAAAACCGGTCAAGTGCGAGTCGGATTCGTGCACCGAGGGTTTCGTAAAATATGTCCTACAACTAAAAATTTACGGTTTTCTCAATTTTTCCTTTATCTGTGCTATAAGACGTTGCTCTCTCGTACCAAATTTAAAGACTCCGAGTTCACGGGAAGTACCCTGTAGGTTTTCATTCCCTTGCGAGTTATGAAAATTTGGGGCTGTATCTTTTGATTGCGTTGGCTAGTTAGATGTTTGATTTTTTCACAGCTCCAAGGGACAGAAGACTTGAGTATTTGATATAAATTTTAGCTCGCTACCTCCAGGCGTTCCTGAGAAAAAGAGCCCTGACAGACGGATGGACGGACAACAAAGTGATATACAATCCTATAAGGGTTCTGTTTTTTTCTTTCGATGTACGGAACCATAATAAGTGAAAAAATTAACCATGTTGGTCTTTTAACTTTATTGAAACTACTTAGTAATAGTTAGACCCAGACGTATAAAGCCTGAGGACCACTAAAGAATTTGATTCATTATTATTTCAAGGTATGTCGAGAAACTATTTTATTTTGGGCTCTCTTTAATCGCGGTCACCCTGACTTGACATGTCCTCTACTTTGTCTCTGCTTTTTTCAAAGTTGTTACAAGATTGGTAGTACTTTTGAGTCAAATTTCTTTTATTTGGACATTGAAAAACAATGAAGACAGAAATTTTGCATCTCAGCATCTCAGCCGACGAACCTGCGACTTGGACGAGATCCGCTTGAGCTCGTTCTGCACCATCATGTGTCAGTATTGACGTCGATGCCTGGCAGCCACTCACCCTGCACGCCAACGGTCCGGATGGGCAGCAGCGTGGCGGCCACCTGCGACTTGGACGAGATCCGCTTGAGCTCGTTCTGCACCATCATGTGTCAGTATTGACGTCGATGCCTGGCAGCCACTCACCCTGCACGCCGACGGTCCGGATGGGCAGCAGCGTGGCGGCCACCTGCGACTTGGACGAGATCCGCTTGAGCTCGTTCTGCACCATCATGTGTCAGTATTGACGTCGATGCCTGGCAGCCACTCACCCTGCACGCCGACGGTCCGGATGGGCAGCAGCGTGGAGGCCACCTGCGACTTGGACGAGATCCGCTTGAGCTCGTTCTGCACCATCATGTGTCAGTATTGACGTCGATGCCTGGCAGCCACTCACCCTGCACGCCGACGGTCCGGATGGGCAGCAGCGTGGCGGCCACCTGCGACTTGGACGAGATCCGCTTGAGCTCGTTCTGCACCATCATGTGTCAGTATTGACGTCGATGCCTGGCAGCCACTCACCCTGCACGCCGACGGTCCGGATGGGCAGCAGCGTGGCGGCCACCTGCGACTTGGACGAGATCCGCTTGAGCTCGTTCTGCACCATCATGTGTCAGTATTGACGTCGATGCCTGGCAGCCACTCACCCTGCACGCCGACGGTCCGGATGGGCAGCAGCGTGGAGGCCACCTGCGACTTGGACGAGATCCGCTTGAGCTCGTTCTGCACCATCATGTGTCAGTATTGACGTCGATGCCTGGCAGCCACTCACCCTGCACGCCAACGGTCCGGATGGGCAGCAGCGTGGCGGCCACCTGCGACTTGGACGAGATCCGCTTGAGCTCGTTCTGCACCATCATGTGTCAGTATTGACGTCGATGCCTGGCAGCCACTCACCCTGCACGCCGACGGTCCGGATGGGCAGCAGCGTGGCGGCCACCTGCGACTTGGACGAGATCCGCTTGAGCTCGTTCTGCACCATCATGTGTCAGTATTGACGTCGATGCCTGGCAGCCACTCACCCTGCACGCCGACGGTCCGGATGGGCAGCAGCGTGGCGGCCACCTGCGACTTGGACGAGATCCGCTTGAGCTCGTTCTGCACCATCATGTGTCAGTATTGACGTCGATGCCTGGCAGCCACTCACCCTGCACGCCAACGGTTCGGATGGGCAGCAGCGTGGCGGCCACCTGCGACTTGGACGAGATCCGCTTGAGCTCGTTCTGCTCGGCCAGCGTGGTCGCGTTCACGACCCGCCCCAGTAGCGCGTGCGATTTGACGCACATGGACGCGTATTCCACCATTATCTTCACTATCACCTTTGAACAATAAAATGCGTTTATTGAAGGTCTAAGATATATTTCTGTGTATAATGGTGTCGATTTTGGAATGATTCTCTGAAGTTAACATCAACTTCCTATTTTCGTTCTGCATAGATAGAGAATGACGATGACAAGGATACGCTGTTGTCAAATTTAATGTAAGGTATAAACTATAAAAAAATCATGCCAGAATCGACACCAATGTCCACATCAAAGACAAAGGGAATGTAACGAGCGTTCTCTATCCAAATGTAAAAAAAATACTGGGCAGATAAGTGTGTACGATACCGGCACTTCACATGGCCATTTGTATTTGCTTATTATGATTTTGATAACAGGTTGTCCTTATCATATTCTTTAGGTAATGCAAAACGAAAGACTGTTGTCAAAGGAGGACGGGCATTTTGGTATCCAATTGGTGTTTGGTATCAATAGCGATGAGTGATATATCATTGAATACCTCTTTTCATGTAGAATATTAGTTACTATGGCGGCATTCTGATATTTGTTGTCCGTTTTTATTTTTTCCAGAAAATACCAGAACCATTTTTGCCGGAACCGTTATTACCATTATTATACTTACCGAATAATAATTATAATAATATAATTCAACATTATTGTACATGTGTAACCGGTAGACGTACCATAGGAACTTGTGCTGACATATTATTAATTATATGGTACCTAGGCTATGCCAGGCACGCCGGATTCATCGCTCCTGCACTGTTCCTAAATGACATCCTTATTATAGATAATGAATAAAGTAATTACTCAAAAATTAGTTTCTTTCACTCTGCCTCTGGATAACTGCATACATAAAAAATTAAATGAATAAAATCATAATGTACCAACAAAAATTAATATTTAAAATCTATTTTTATCTATTTTTGTTAAAGTTTTTTATTAAGTGTTACGGTCATTGGCGTATCTAGGGTTCTATCTAGGGTTATTTTTCAGGGGGGGCCTGGGCCCTGATATTGAAGAGTCATCTGAAGTTAGTGATTAGTATTATAGAATTTCGAATCGGTAGTCCAACATCCTGGGGTGGGCACGGCCCACTTGGCCCCCCCTCTATATACGCCTATGGTTACCGTTTAAGATAACAAGCTAGTTATTGTTTTTTTTTATTATGTTTTTACCATTTTCTTTTATTAACGTTCTCGTTAAAGATAAACATTAAATAGTTCACACGAGGTTGTATTGTTACTAAGTCGGAAGGCACTGCACAGTGTTTTATGGAACCAAAAAAATTTACATGTTCAGGTTTTTACATAAATAGATTATTTATACCCTAAAAAAGGCATGAGTTCAATTCCCAGAAGTCTAACTCAAATACTCTTTGAGAAAAAAAATCATGAACTTATCGTGACCTTTGACCTATGAAATCTAGTATATTTTTTTATAAAGTGAATATTAACAATATATTTTTTTAATAAATATGTGTCAATCGGGCATAATCAGAGGCGTATAAACGCGTTTCTTTAGCTTAAAAAAATGCATTGGTTTGGGAGCAGCAATTTTTTTTTGTATTTCGTATTTATTGTTTTTTCTCCCTAAAAACGAAAAAGTGGAACCTAGAACTTCGATAGAAATAAACCTACGGATGTGGTCTTTCATACATAAATAAGCCACGTGTCACTTTTGCGGCGATTAGAAGATATTCATTTTTAAATTTTTATGCTAGGGTTGACACCGAACCTGACCTCGAACGAAAATTTTTAAAATATAAATTTGTGTATTAGTTTTGAACGAGTTTACAATAATGTAGATTTTAGGAACTTACTACAGTACCTTTAACATATTTTTATGGGCTCCAAGCTCTATTTGCAAAAAAGGAACGCTTATGGTGATTCCCAGTCAAGGCGGAAGTCATTATAATGAATATCGATTTTCGTTTTCGGGTCTGAGTATTAACTATTAATTGTTTGTTTTGTGTGTGTTTTGGAGACCCAATTAGACACAAGTTCATGCCTGCTTACCTCTACGTTTTTTTTTTGTAACAATAATAGTTACACCTACTAACTGATTTATGCCCAAGATTTGTTTTTATTTTCTAATCGAATGCCTGAATGATTCTGAATGAATTTTGAAATTTTTTTCAAGCAACATAGTTCATTTTTTCGTTACCGTTTAGCGTGTAAGGTACAAAGTTAAAATGTGGTCGAACAAACATAAAGTATTCCTACATTATCACATCTACATCAGGTAGGTACCTAGTATATGTAAGTATATTATATTCGTCCACAAGTGTTGTTAATTTATTCAATTGATTGACGGTATTAATTAACAAACAAAAAATTTAACATTTTCATTTAACTCATAGTTGACCTTTGTGACAATCCTAGATCATGAAAGTTGACCTTTATCTAAATTCTGTCATAACTTCTTAAAACCGCAAAAGTGAAACCTGATTTTTTTATGGGTGATAGAACTTGGCTTATAGAACCTTTCTGTACTAAATCCAGGTTCCACTTTTGCCGATATTTGGAGAAAAAAATTAAAAATCGAAATTAAAAAAAAATATATTTCTCGGAAACTAGGACACTTATAAATAAAATATAATTGCAAAATTATGCCTTCAATAATTCCTTATCAAGTGGCAAATATCTCATGTACAGATATGGAACCGTCTTTTGAGGAAATTAAATTGTTAATTTTTTAATGCTCAAATTTCAAAAAGTTTGCTACTTCATATCTTTTTTTTTACTGGAAATAGTGATCTGAGAATTGAACTCTTGCCTTTATTAGGGTATAAATAATTGATTTATGCAAAAATCTTAAGGTGTAAATTTTTTTGGTTCCATAAAACACTGTGCACTGATATCTGCAATACAGTTTTTTTTAAACTTTTGCAGATATCAACGCTCTAACCTTATGCCTATTGTTAATACTTACAACACTGCTAAAATAATGTAAATACTGAAATGTATAACAATTTAAAAGGGGAAAAACTTTTTTTTATTATTTATTATATAACTCTGTTTCGACAACGTATCAGGGCAAGCGCCATAGTAGACATTATTGTATTCAAGTAGACCTTTCAAATGATATGTAACACATCTCTATTGGAACGGATACCAAGTTCCATACATTTTTGCCCATCATCCTTTACAAATAGCAAACACGAATAGCCATGTGATGTGCCAGCGTGATAGAGAGGGTAACTTTTTGTTTGTTATTTATTTATTTCGGATATCCTGTAGTTACATACAGTTATGGCCTTCGCAGACGAGTGACTTTTGTTCGCCATACAATGCATCGCGTAACGCACTCGACGGATTAAAATTACAGCGTACAAATTCCCCTGAACAATTAAGGACATCGAGAGACCGGAATGGACAATAGTACGGAGCTGTCCCCGAAAATAAAAATAGAACTTATGTGACTAGCCGCAGCAACGCACACAGCGAAGTTTTTATAAATGATCGGGTTTTTTTTTATTATTATTACGCGAAATTATACCTGTGTCTCGGCGAAGTCCCGCTCTGCGTAGGGCTCGTCCTGGCACAGCACCCGGACGGCGAGCCCCGGCCCGGGGAAAGGCTGGCGCTCCACCACCGCCGTCGGGAGCCCTAGCTCCGTACCTAACGCGCGCACCTGTATATAAGAAACGTATGATTTTAACTTTGTTTATCAAGTGATTGGTATATGTTTAAAAACATAAACAGGCTCATTTCTTAAAAAGAGTGTCGATAATATGACGACGAAGACGATCAACGACACGAACAGCTCAGTGTCGTTATGACGAGTGTTGATGACGTCGTTTCTATACTACACTACATTACAGGCATAGTACAATATGGGCCCCACACCTCGTCCTTGTGGAAATCCTTGAGCGGCTCGACCACGCGGCCCCGCTGACGCAGCAGCCGGACCAATTCGGTGTCATTGTGGTGAGTCTTGATAGCCCCGCACCAGCTCAGTATCGTTGGGAAGAGTGTTGATGATGTCACTATACTACACTACATTACAGGCATACTACAATATGGGCCCCACACCTCGTCCTTGTGGAAGTCCTTGAGCGGCTCGACCACGCGGCCCCGCTGACGCAGCAGCCGGACCAATTCGGTGTCATTGTGGTGAGTCTTGATAGTCGCCGCGTTGTTGCTGCACATTGAAGACGCTGATTCGATCAAGTCCGGTCTTAAAGTGCCCTGGCCGAGTAGAACTTGGTCCTCCCTGTAAAGAATATAATTTCATCAAAAGGCTTATGAACTTTTTTAACCTTTTAAATTTAATAAACTAGTACTTTTGTTAATATTATCTTATTTGATTTATAAGGTAATAAACCAAAAAAAACCTTGAAGTCAATTATACATGTCAAAACGATAGTTAATATAACATACCATATAATAAAACTTACAGTTTGCGTAAAAGATGCATGTTAAACTCTTTTAACAAGTGATTTAAAAACTTGTTGCTTTCTGTTCGCGGCTTTGCCAGTTCCAGTTTTAACTACAAAAACTACCACGTTCTTATTTTCTGAGATATGATCAGAAGCTTAGTCAATAGTGTCTTCTGCAGCACCCTCCAGTGACATTTATCTAGCCAATGGCGGGCGCCTGCGACATCCGCACTTAGTTTAGTTTTTTGAGAATCTCACAGGAACCTAACATTTTGCAGGATAAAAAGGATCCTATGTCTTAATCCAGGTCATAAAATATATGTGCACCAATTTCATCCAAATCCATTCAGAAGTTTTGCATGAAGGCATAATAACTCACTTTCGTATTTATGTAAATTTTCTTAGATATATAAAGATTTATCATCTATGATTTCGCTAGAGTACCTTTTCGCTGCTAGAATCCGATATTTTCTGAAATACATGCAAGTCAAGAGAACAAAATGTAAACATGTCACATTTTGGGAAAAGGTCTCTTTAATGACACTTTTTTATTTATGATTTTAAAAGCGTATTAAAATTCGAGCCCGTTAAAAAAACCTTTGTATCAGTGGAAGTTAAAAAGACTATGTTGTCGATTCTGGCAAGATTCCCTTAAAACTTAATTTCACATAAGTCTCTCCTTTCCATTCTGTATAGAGAATGACAAGGATACACTGTTGATAAATTTAAGTTCAGTTCATGCTAGTATCGACACCAATACATCATCATAATGTATACTGACTGCAGCTGCAAGTGTTGCACCGCCTGCTCTGCGACGCGGATGAATACGTCGCCTATAATTTTACGCTTGTCTTCAGGGGAAGTGGTGTGGCATAACAGAGGCGTATGGCGAGTACGGCCGCCCGCTTCGCGTACCACTGTGCTGCCTTGCCGGAACTGGAAAATGAACATTTTTATCATCATCAGCCTATTAATGTCCCCACTGCTGGGGTACAGGCCTTCCTATGGATGGAATAGGGAGATTGGGCTATGACCCTCCACACGGGCCAAGTGAGGATTGGCGGGTGTTGACGACTGCAGATGCAGCCGGGATCAACGGCATAACGTGCCTTCCGAAGCACGGATAACGAAGAATCGAGATAGAAGATCTTTGGTCACCCATCCAATGACCGACCACTGCGAAAGTTGCTCAACTTCAACGATCGCAGCCGAACGCGTTAACCACCTGCGCCATTGAGCTCATAAAATTTATATAACACTACAGAAATTATTTTTCTGACAAAATTCGATTTGTTACTCATAAATAATGCAGCTTTTTAATCTTTAGATAGTATAAAACAAAGTCGCACCCCATTTCAAATATAAGTTGAGTAATGCGGAAAGTAGTGAGGGTACTTTGTGAATGTATATAGGTTTTCGAGGCGTTTTCCCTACTCTCGAGATCCTGGGTTCGAATCATGGTGGGAAAAATATTCTAATCAGAAAATATTGATAAAATATAATTATAAAATGAAAACGCTTCGCTACGCTTTCGGTTCGTATCTGTTTGGCAAAGGCATAAGAGTGTGACATGCATAAAATCATTTCATATTTATTCCCTACTCCGAAATATTTGCGGTCTTTTAATCTCGTGTTTTAGATTATATATTTTAATGGTTAGATTATTATTATAAAGGTTTATGTCAATATTTTAAAATTACCTGATGAGCCGCGTTCACTACGTGTAGGCGTACTCCGAGATCCCTGAGGCATCTCTCCACCTTACTGCTCTCGTTCTTACGCATGAATCCTACAAGAAATGTACACTTTCATAAAAAAAAAACAATGTAGTAGAACATCTTCATTATGGCCTGCGCAGACTGAGGACTTTTGTCCGTGGAGGACAACACATCTCTCAATCGTCAAAAAATGTCCGCCGAGAACTAGTTAGGGACTCAACGCACACGGTGTGCCGACATTTGTTGCCTGGGAATTTCTAAATGCACGTTATGAAAGAAAATATTCTGAGAAAATGTTGTTTTGTAATTTTCTGACGACCTCCGTGGCCGAGTTTGTACGCCGGGTTTCATGGTGTCACCGACTCGAGAGGTCCAGGGATAGAATCCCGGTGGGGGCAGATGTTTGTGTGATGAATACGAGCATTTGTACTCCAGTCATGGATGTTAAATATGTATTTTTATATAAATATACTTATATTTGTACTGTATATGTATGCTATCCGTTACCCTAGTATCCCATAACACAGGCCTTATAGGGCTTACTTTGGGGCTAGGCTAATTGGTGTGAGTGATGGAAATATTTATTTATTTTTTGTGCGTAACGCAGACTAAAGTTGGCTGTGTGCGTTGCTGCGCATTGTCACATGAGTTATATTTTTTCGAGGACACCCGCGTTCTTTTGTCCGGTCCGGACTCTTTGTTGTGCGGTTTTGTACACGGTAATTTTAATCCGTCGTGTGCGTTAATTGATGAAGTTGTAAGTGATCTATTTTGGCGGATAAGCTAGCGGCTGCGCAGGCTTTCATGGAAATTGTTTTCGAACAGAGTTGATTTTGAATATGGCTATGGCATTCTGAATGGTACAATGGTAATCCATATTGATTTTTACTAATAACATACAATACAATGAAAATATAACTAGAAAAAATTCCACGCGGACCAGGCAGCAGACGGGACTCGAACCCGCACCCTTCGCAATCCGGGCGAATGCACTGACCAATTATGCTACCGCGGCCCTCACGGACCGCGTCGAAATTCTTTCTAGCTATTCTTAAGCTGCAAGGCACCTCTTCGCATTATAGGTAAACCCACAATGTCAAATGAATACTTTTACAAGTATTAAACATTTGAAAGAAGAAATAGCAATTATAGTTATAATTTTTGTTATTTTTAAAGCATGTAACTGCTTGATGTTTAAATCTAATGAAAATATAACTAGAAAAAATTCCACGCGGACCAGGCAGCAGACGGGACTCGAACCCGCACCCTTCGCAATCCGGGCGAATGCACTGACCAATTATGCTACCGCGGCCCTCACGGACCGCGTCGAAATTCTTTCTAGCTATTCTTAAGCTGCAAGGCAGCGCCATCTCTTCGCATTATAGGTAAACCCACAATGTCAAATGAATACTTTTACAAGTATTAAACATTTGAAAGAAGAAATAGCAATTATAGTTATAATTTTTGTTATTTTTAAAGCATGTAACTGCTTGATGTTTAAATCTAATGAAAATATAACTAGAAAAAATTCCACGCGGACCAGGCAGCAGACGGGACTCGAACCCGCACCCTTCGCAATCCGGGCGAATGCACTGACCAATTATGCTACCGCGGCCCTCACGGACCGCGTCGAAATTCTTTCTAGCTATTCTTAAGCTGCAAGGCAGCGCCATCTCTTCGCATTATAGGTAAACCCACAATGTCAAATGAATACTTTTACAAGTATTAAACATTTGAAAGAAGAAATAGCAATTATAGTTATAATTTTTGTTATTTTTAAAGCATGTAACTGCTTGATGTTTAAATCTAATGAAAATATAACTAGAAAAAATTCCACGCGGACCAGGCAGCAGACGGGACTCGAACCCGCACCCTTCGCAATCCGGGCGAATGCACTGACCAATTATGCTACCGCGGCCCTCACGGACCGCGTCGAAATTCTTTCTAGCTATTCTTAAGCTGCAAGGCAGCGCCATCTCTTCGCATTATAGGTAAACCCACAATGTCAAATGAATACTTTTACAAGTATTAAACATTTGAAAGAAGAAATAGCAATTATAGTTATAATTTTTGTTATTTTTAAAGCATGTAACTGCTTGATGTTTAAATCTAATGAAAATATAACTAGAAAAAATTCCACGCGGACCAGGCAGCAGACGGGACTCGAACCCGCACCCTTCGCAATCCGGGCGAATGCACTGACCAATTATGCTACCGCGGCCCTCACGGACCGCGTCGAAATTCTTTCTAGCTATTCTTAAGCTGCAAGGCAGGCAAGGTCCGTGAGGGCCGCGGTAGCATAATTGGTCAGTGCATTCGCCCGGATTGCGAAGGGTGCGGGTTCGAGTCCCGTCTGCTGCCTGGTCCGCGTGGAATTTTTTCTAGTTATATTTTCATTAGATTTAAACATCAAGCAGTTACATGCTTTAAAAATAACAAAAATTATAACTATAATTGCTATTTCTTCTTTCAAATGTTTAATACTTGTAAAAGTATTCATTTGACATTGTGGGTTTACCTATAATGCGAAGAGATGGCGCTGCCTTGCAGCTTAAGAATAGCTAGAAAGAATTTCGACGCGGTCCGTGAGGGCCGCGGTAGCATAATTGGTCAGTGCATTCGCCCGGATTGCGAAGGGTGCGGGTTCGAGTCCCGTCTGCTGCCTGGTCCGCGTGGAATTTTTTCTAGTTATATTTTCATTAGATTTAAACATCAAGCAGTTACATGCTTTAAAAATAACAAAAATTATAACTATAATTGCTATTTCTTCTTTCAAATGTTTAATACTTGTAAAAGTATTCATTTGACATTGTGGGTTTACCTATAATGCGAAGAGATGGCGCTGCCTTGCAGCTTAAGAATAGCTAGAAAGAATTTCGACGCGGTCCGTGAGGGCCGCGGTAGCATAATTGGTCAGTGCATTCGCCCGGATTGCGAAGGGTGCGGGTTCGAGTCCCGTCTGCTGCCTGGTCCGCGTGGAATTTTTTCTAGTTATATTTTCATTAGATTTAAACATCAAGCAGTTACATGCTTTAAAAATAACAAAAATTATAACTATAATTGCTATTTCTTCTTTCAAATGTTTAATACTTGTAAAAGTATTCATTTGACATTGTGGGTTTACCTATAATGCGAAGAGATGGCGCTGCCTTGCAGCTTAAGAATAGCTAGAAAGAATTTCGACGCGGTCCGTGAGGGCCGCGGTAGCATAATTGGTCAGTGCATTCGCCCGGATTGCGAAGGGTGCGGGTTCGAGTCCCGTCTGCTGCCTGGTCCGCGTGGAATTTTTTCTAGTTATATTTTCATTAGATTTAAACATCAAGCAGTTACATGCTTTAAAAATAACAAAAATTATAACTATAATTGCTATTTCTTCTTTCAAATGTTTAATACTTGTAAAAGTATTCATTTGACATTGTGGGTTTACCTATAATGCGAAGAGATGGCGCTGCCTTGCAGCTTAAGAATAGCTAGAAAGAATTTCGACGCGGTCCGTGAGGGCCGCGGTAGCATAATTGGTCAGTGCATTCGCCCGGATTGCGAAGGGTGCGGGTTCGAGTCCCGTCTGCTGCCTGGTCCGCGTGGAATTTTTTCTAGTTATATTTTCATTAGATTTAAACATCAAGCAGTTACATGCTTTAAAAATAACAAAAATTATAACTATAATTGCTATTTCTTCTTTCAAATGTTTAATACTTGTAAAAGTATTCATTTGACATTGTGGGTTTACCTATAATGCGAAGAGATGGCGCTGCCTTGCAGCTTAAGAATAGCTAGAAAGAATTTCGACGCGGTCCGTGAGGGCCGCGGTAGCATAATTGGTCAGTGCATTCGCCCGGATTGCGAAGGGTGCGGGTTCGAGTCCCGTCTGCTGCCTGGTCCGCGTGGAATTTTTTCTAGTTATATTTTCATTAGATTTAAACATCAAGCAGTTACATGCTTTAAAAATAACAAAAATTATAACTATAATTGCTATTTCTTCTTTCAAATGTTTAATACTTGTAAAAGTATTCATTTGACATTGTGGGTTTACCTATAATGCGAAGAGATGGCGCTGCCTTGCAGCTTAAGAATAGCTAGAAAGAATTTCGACGCGGTCCGTGAGGGCCGCGGTAGCATAATTGGTCAGTGCATTCGCCCGGATTGCGAAGGGTGCGGGTTCGAGTCCCGTCTGCTGCCTGGTCCGCGTGGAATTTTTTCTAGTTATATTTTCATTAGATTTAAACATCAAGCAGTTACATGCTTTAAAAATAACAAAAATTATAACTATAATTGCTATTTCTTCTTTCAAATGTTTAATACTTGTAAAAGTATTCATTTGACATTGTGGGTTTACCTATAATGCGAAGAGATGGCGCTGCCTTGCAGCTTAAGAATAGCTAGAAAGAATTTCGACGCGGTCCGTGAGGGCCGCGGTAGCATAATTGGTCAGTGCATTCGCCCGGATTGCGAAGGGTGCGGGTTCGAGTCCCGTCTGCTGCCTGGTCCGCGTGGAATTTTTTCTAGTTATATTTTCATTAGATTTAAACATCAAGCAGTTACATGCTTTAAAAATAACAAAAATTATAACATACAATACAATCTAAACACAATTTTTACTAGAAAATATTCAACTAGTTACAATAGCGCATAAAAGAAAACCATTCCAGTTGTGGTAATAATAATACGGAGTAATTTACTAAAGTAGGGCCAACGAGAAGCGATGCAAAAGTTCATTCACCTTATATGCGACTATGGGATTGACAGTCTAATAACTATCTCTTTATCTCATATAAATGATATAAGGTCTCGTTCGGTCATGGCACGTCATCGCCGAGGCGCCGAATTCACCAACATTTGGGGGCTTATTTTACTTTAATGATTAATGACATATTTTCATTTCGTTCCGTGTCGTTCCGCTACTACTCGTGATAATAAGTAAAAAAAAATTGTGCTTTAACATTTGTGATTTTAATTTGGCAAATCAAATATCTTGAAATCAATTTGTCTATCCATTCTTTGAGTAAGATAATGTTAAACGGAAATCCTAATCAATCCCATGATCGATTTGTATATCGCATTTCTTCGCCCCGACCACTTGATCGCTGTTTGCGTGGAACCACTTATTACTGCAGTTCGAATTCCATATCATTTCTAATTCGTTATCAAATAAGATAAAAATATAAGTCATCTAGCAGTTGAATGCTATAACATTTCAATTAATATAGCATTAATGATGTTTGACATACCATTATCGATGTGTAGGGCTATGACTTGATCCTCACGAAGGGCGGTTCTTATAAGCGCCGCGCACACTGTAGAGTCTACGCCTCCACTCACCAAAACCTACAAGTTTAATTATGTACGAAGTCTTTAAACGAATTAAAGCAGTTTTTATGTAAACGGCGTTTATTTAAAAAATATGTTACAATAGGAGTGATGGAAGAGTAAAAGTAAATGAAATACTATTTAGTCCGTCAGTCAGATTACCAAAAAATAATGGACATTTATTTCTTGTCAAGCAACCAAAAAGTTACTAAGTTCCAAGCACGTCAAATTTTGAGAGAGGGAGCTCGTGACGTCGCTGCTAAGTAAAAAATGCAGGAAGACTCACATGCTTGTACAATGTCGCATGACGTCACTCCCATGTAGGGTTACCATCCGTCCGGATTAGACCGGACATGTCCAGACTTTTAGACCATAGTCCGGACTTTGTCCGGATCTCTAAATTGTCCAGATTTTTGAAATAACGTTGAATATGAATAATAAATATACATATTGATTTAAATATATATCATTGTAACTAAGTGATTAATGGTATCATGTTGGGACTAAAAAGTCTGGACTTTTTTCGAAATGTCAAGATTGTTGTCAGCACTTTTGAAATTCCTAAATGACAACACTACTCCCATGCAACATTTCAAATCTATATCGGTATCTCCGCATTGTTTTAAATCAACAAATCTATAGATAACGGGTCAGTGCCTAAAATCCGTCTCGGTAAACATAGCCTCACTTGAGGCGTGAGGTCTTATTTTCAATTAGTTCGGTTAATATACAGCCAATGGGTCGGTCCGTCGGTCGGTAAAAGGTCGTATGCACCAAGTAACATTTCGTTATTTGTAAGTTTATTCCTTTGTGACACGGTTGTTATTGATTCAACTTAAACTGTTTTAAAACAATTGTTATTATTTATTGGGAATCGAGTGCAGCTGCATAAGTCTCACACACAGTTTTTAACTTTGATTTTGTATGCAACCCGTTGTCTATAGAATTGTTGATCAAAGGGTACACACTACGGTACAAAAGTTGTCATCCTCCCTATACAGAGTAATTGTAAAAATCAACTTCTATCTATCATTTCATTCGAAGCGTCACCTGGCTAGAAAAGTGGATCGCAGTTAATATTGTGCATTCATAAGAGTTTTTTTCAAAGTATATTTGACTGGCCACCCTCCAACTCCCATATTCCTTGTACCCTTAGCACGGAACATTATCAAATTCAAATAGATGAATTCGATTTATCTTATAAGTCAGATGTGTACTGAATTTTAGTTATCGCTACGTCCGTTGTAGCGCTGCTGTTCAAGTTTCCACACATAATTGACGATGGCATTTCGCACTAGCAAACTATTTGAATTCGATATTGGCTTGTGCTAAGGGTACTTACTGGTCTAAACATGGTATCACACCATGATTCGGGTCTGCCAGTATAGCAAAGGATCTAAGTAAATCATTGTGTTTAGTAAGTTGATTGCGGACTCATGAATTTAAAGGAAGATCGGTAGTACTACATCCCTCCTAGCATGAGCACCGCGATATGATATTATGAAGGCCAAAGGGGAAGATCTCCGAGCTGGGTGATGGTAGCTCGGGAGCCGCGGCCCGACTGATGTTGGTCGGGCATCGTATACATCGAGTATTAGCCTCCGAATTTTACTTGCGCGATTTAGGCTACTATACTATTGTGATCGCAGCGCAGGTAGCGCCATCTCTTGTGGAGGCGAATGATTATTTCCTTCATGTCAGTTCTATGTGGGGCATACAGATGTCGCCGCCACAATATAAAATTTAATTTTTATCACGCTTGATTGTCAATACAATTACTATGGAGTTTGACAGTTAGATGCGATAAAAAACATGATATGGTAACATACGAGCACTTTGTTATCTCCAACAGTCTCCCGTATGTATTGTATGCACGCCTCCCGCCTGCAGCGCAGCGTAAACGTGCGAGAGAGACCGGCGATGTCGAACAGGAAGTTCGAAAGCATCTGCTTCCCTTTAGGCGTTAAGTCGACCTGAGAAAAGGTAAAAATTTGTTCAGGATTTGACGCAAATGCAGGAAATTCAAATGTTTATATAAAATTTGACTCAACGGTAATGCAGTGATTTTTCTTTGAAATTATATTATTTGTCACACAAATTTGTCATTTTTATTATGTATGCTATTATGGTTGATATAAGTATCGGTTTACTAAAATTTTTCTTAAATTGAGTCAAATATAGTTTCCAGCTTGTAACGTGTTAAAAACGTCACAAGGACCTCCTTCGCTCGAAGAGCGAGATAGAAGATTTTTTTTGGTTGTCTCTCTGGTCGTTTTTTATCTCGCGCCCATTTTCTTTAATCTGTGCACTTTTGGGTAAGTGTGTTTCTGCCTTTATCGAGCAGTAGGCTGAATGGACATTGTTCTCTTTGCCTACCGCCCAGACAAACTAAGAAAAGAACTGTCACTTCACTTCACGACCAAAATTTTTACGAGGAACATGTGAAAATTTAAATCTTAATTTTTATCATGATAATCCATTGGATTTTCAATTGTTTTTGATGATATAACATTTTGCAGCTTTTGATCGGAATGGCGGATATCGCATTCCAAGCTTAATTTGTTTAAAAAACGCGAAAAGCGTTTTTTTTTTTTTTTTTGGATTTTCTAATGAACTTTCAACATTTCCCATGATGAGAAAGTGAACAGTCCCGTGATGTAACAGCGACATCCATTTAATATTACAATTGACACCAGACATAGCCACTACACAGATGCAACAAGTTCGGTAACTTTCCAAATTCATTGTTGTACCGGAACCCATAAGGTAAAATTTTCATTTACATTTTAGTAGCCATAGTATATTAAGTAGTTTCTAAATTTAGCAGTAACCCTTTTGGACTTAAGTAGTTTTGTAGTAAATTTAAATAAATCGACAACCCAAAATGAATATGGTTTTGCAATCAAGCCTTCTCTTGTGATTAATAGTCCTTTGCTTTCCCGGCTAATATGGTATAATAATGTGGTAGGTCTGGCGCCCGAGTATTCTTTTTTTCATTAATTTCGACCTATCCATTTAAAGTAAATTTCTCTCAAACTTTTTATTTTTTAATATTACAATTGACGCCAGCGCACAGGGACTTGGTTTATGCAATCCATTTCATTTTGTACCTATAATAGTAGTCTTGTCTGGTTGTTTGTCATCTTTATTATTACATTTGTAATATAATGTAGCTTTTGTACTTGAATTTTGATACATAATATATATATCAAAATTCAAGTACAAAAGCATAGATTTTGCCTGTAATATAATTACAATTTAACTTAATGTTTTGGATGGTTCGTGTTAATATTAACTTTTCATTTAACTACTTGTTTTGAACTTTATTTCATATTTGAAATGTTCTATATACGTCTGTAGTGATGCATCACATGATATTTACTACTTTTGTATGTTAATTTAGTATTTTGCACATGCAAATTTCTTAGAATTTACTTCAACTCGTTAACAATTATTTGGTTTCTACCAATTGATGCATATTGCACATAACTTAAACTTTTATTACCTTGTTAACTATGATCATTGTGTTATTGTTTTGTTATTTACATTTGAATATGCAAATTTACAAAGCTTTTTGCTATATATATAAAAAATTAGGACTTTTTGTTCGAACGTTTTGATAATTTTTAAAATGTTTTGTGAACATTATTTGAAATTTATACAAGTTTCTTAATGATAAATATAACTGTTCCACAACTTGTTTTGAGCTAGTATATACATTGTTTAAATAAAACATAAACAATAAAGTTTAACTTTTATAAATAATAACATAAACTTAAAATAATTTAACATTCTTTGAAAAAATATAACTAAATATTCTGAAATATTTTCATAATTTAATGAAGCATTGTTTATATAATAATAATAATAAACTTAGTCATAATAATATTGTAAAATAACTTTTGATGTTGTTGTAACTTAGATATTTTGACATTTTGTCACAAACTTATTTCTGTTAAGGATAATATGTTTTTATATTAATAATTTTTAAATAATTCAATTCGGTTACATAACTTAACTTAAGATTTAAATATCTTTCACCAATTGTAAACTTGCTGCATCTTGCTTTATCTTTTAAAAGATTTAACTTTAAATTTACTTTGCGTTAACTGCGTTTATAATTTCACTGCTATTTTGGCATTTTGCAAAAATGGAAGGTGACAAACTTGCATTATCTGCTGCCTTGCCGCCTAAGGAGCAACTTGTTTCTTTTTGCATTGTGATGCTAGATCTGTTGGTATTGGTAGTGTTCTGAGTCAAGAAGATGATAACGGTGATCAACATCCTATTGCTTTTTATTCTAGATCTCTTAATAAGTGTGAACGTAATTATAGTGTGACTGAGAGAGAACTTTTGGCAATTTTAGATTCTATTGAACATTTTAGGCCGTACGTTGAAGGAATGAAGTTTACCGTAGTAACGGATCATGCTAGTTTAAAATGGCTTTTAAATTTAAATAATCCTTCTGGTCGCTTAGCTAGATGGGCTGCTAGAATTTCACAATTTACATTTGATATAATTCATAAAAAAGGTTCTTTGCATGTAGTTCCTGATACTCTTTCTCGTTATGATATAGCTGCGTTGACAATAAATTCAAATCAAATTGTTTCGCCTAACGATGACATCGTAGATCCTTGGTATAGAAAGATTTTTGTCAATTGTCAAAAATTCCCTTCTAGATATAAAAATTTTAGAGTAGAAAATGATACTTTGTATAGATTTTGTAAATCAAAATATAGCGTTAATAATAATTTAGATTGGAAAATTGTTGTTCCAAAAGAACATATTTTAGATTCTATTAGAAATAATCATGATGATTTAAATTCGAGTCATTTGGGAATTCATAAAACTTTGCATAAAATAAAACTACATTACTTTTGGAAAGGTATGTTTAATGATGTTCATAAATATATTAATAATTGCGATATTTGTAAAGCTTATAAGCATTCGACTTCTAAACCACTTGGAACTATGATTAATCCCAAAAAAGTAGATAGACCTATGGTAATGTTAAGTATGGATTTAATTGGAATTTTACCCAAAACTTATTCTGGTCATAAATTTATATTATCTGTAGTAGATGTTTTTACAAAATATTGTTGGTTATTTCCTTTGGCTAATGCAACGACTAGATCAATGTGTAAGTTCTTAGAAAAAGATATCTTCCTTAAGTTCGGATGTCCAAAAATAGTTGTATGTGATAACGGTACTCAGTTCACTTCTAGAAATTTTGTAGATTTTCTTAAAGGTTTTAATATTGATAGAATATTTTATAATACTTTATATACGCCTCAGAATAATCCAGTGGAGCGTTATAATAAAACGGTTGAAACTTGCATTTCTTGCTTCGTTCGTGATGATCATAGAACTTGGTCGAAATTTCTTCCACATGTTCAGTTAGCTTTGAATAGTAGTGTTAATTTGGCTACGGAGTTCACTGCGAATTTCCTAATGTTTGGTAGGGAGTTAATTATTGATGCGTCATTGCACCGTTTTAGTAATTCCTTTGATAATTTAACACAGATCGATCTTGTTGACCGTTCTGCTTTTGCTCATTCACTTTCTTCACTTGAAAGTATTTTTGTTAAAGTTACTGGAACTTTATTTAAAGCATATAAACGTAATGCTTCTTATTATAACAAGCGTCGTGAAGTCACTTCTTATGATGTAGGTGATATTGTTTGGAGGAGGAATTTTGTTCAATCTAGTGCTGCTCATTATTTTTCGGCAAAACTAGCTCCGAAGTTTATTAAATGTAAGATTATTGATAAAATCTCGAATAATGTTTATGTTTTGAAAGATTTGGTTAAAAGTACTTCTGGTCGTTACCATGTTAAAGACATTTTGAAAATTTAGATTGCTTAGCTGTTGTTTGGTTAGTTTTGTTACATAAACAAACCTTTGGGTTTTAGGCTTTTGTGACTTGGGTGATCTGGGCATTTGAAAGTTGATTTATTTGCGTGAGGTATGTACTGTTGCCCTTGGAAGGTGATGAAAGAAAGTGATATTACTCAAATACATTAGACTTTACTCATTGACTTTTTGGTTTTTATTAAATTCAAGTTTTGCCATTATATTATTTGACTTTGAAAATTTTTTGTAAAATTTAAATTAACGTAGTATGCCTACTTATTTTCTGCATCATAAGATTTTATAACCTTTTGTTTCATGCAGATGTTTTATCTGTATGGACACATTTTTTATTAGGATTTTATATGTCCTCATTTGTTATTTTTGTACAAACTTATTTGTTAGTACTATAGTTGTGTGGTGTTTCTGCATGTTTGTTGTTTTATAACAATTTGTTTTGTGTAGAAGTTTGTGTGTGTGATAATTGTTACACCCGGATTTGACATTTTGGGATCCCTACTTTTTCCTTGGATTCGACATCCATGATTTTGACTTTTTTTTGTTCAATATTTTTGACGATTTGTTTGGTTTACCACTTTGTTTTGGTAATTTGTTTGCCCATATTTATGGACATCATTTGTTTTGTTTTTGCACATCATGTTCGGAAGTTCGGTGGTGTAGTGCCGATCATGAAGTTGCAATTTCGACTTTTTGTTCAACATTGTTGACGCTTTTTTGGTTTTGCCATATTGTTTTGGTATTTTGTTTGCCCATATTTATGGACATCAATTGTTTGTTTTTGTGCTTCATGCTCGGGAGTTCGGTGGAGTTGTGCCGATCATGTAGTTACAACTTTTGTTTTGGGTGCTTCATGTCCGGAAAGTCGTTGGTGTTGAGTCGGCCATGAATGTCACGTTTTGGTTTTCGCCAAATTTTTTGCTGTTTTGACTTTCGTCACTACATTTTTTTTGTCGAACTGTTTGTTCTCGACACCTTTTGCACATCATGTTCGGAAAGCCGATGGTGTTGTGCCGACCATGATTGTGACTTAAATGAGTTTGTGTCAATTTTGCCACTCATCTCGAACTTTTTGGGGATTTAACTAATAGTACTTGCGACTTTTTAGTATAGCAGTACTGGGGTGGGATTTTTCAGTCTGCGACATAGTTGTCTAACAGATCTCCCAAGAGTTGGTAGTAGGAGTAGATTGTAGTTTTCTGTCTGTGACCTAGATGTCCAACAGACCTTCAGAAATTAATGTTAAGAGTAGTAGAGTAGTAGTTTAAGAAATTTTAGGAGTCTGCGATTTTAATATCCAACAGATCTCACAGGGGTTTAGGTTTTGAAGGAGTTTTAGTTTAGGAAATTTTAGAGTCTGCGACTTAGATGTCCAACAGATCTCACCAGGGTTTAGTTAGAGTAGTTTGAATTTAGAGATTTTTTAGAGTCTGCGACTTTTTATGTTCGACAGATCTCAATAATGATGATGATAGTGGTTGAATTTTTTGTAGTAAGCTTTGCATACTTTTATTTTAGAGCATTTTGCTTTAGGTTTTTAATAATTTTGGGTCTGTGACTAATTTAGTTCAACAGCTTTTGTTTTGAGACTTGTGACTTTTTGTCCAAGGACTCTATAGTTAGATGATGTTTTGGTATTTGGATAACTTTATTTGAAGTTATTTTCTTTTCACTTTGGGTTTTCGTTTTCATCCATAATTCAACGGATTTCGTTTTGGCTTTTAGTATTTGAATTTTAGCTGTAGTTTCTTCAGCCTCGATTCTCGATGCTTTATTCGGGGAAGGGTGAAATGTAACGTGTTAAAAACGTCACATGGACCTCCTTCGCTCGAAGAGCGAGATAGAAGATTTTTTTTGGTTGTCTCTCTGGTCGTTTTTTATCTCGCGCCCATTTTCTTTAATCTGTGCACTTTTGGGTAAGTGTGTTTCTGCCTTTATCGAGCAGTAGGCTGAATGGACATTGTTCTCTTTGCCTACCGCCCAGACAAACTAAGAAAAGAACTGTCACTTCACTTCACGACCAAAATTTTTACGAGGAACATGTGAAAATTTAAATCTTAATTTTTATCATGATAATCCATTGGATTTTCAATTGTTTTTGATGATATAACATTTTGCAGCTTTTGATCGGAATGGCGGATATCGCATTCCAAGCTTAATTTGTTTAAAAAACGCGAAAAGCGTTTTTTTATTTTATTTTGGATTTTATAATGAACTTTCAACATTTCCCATGATGAGAAAGTGAACAGTCCCGTGATGTAACAGCGACATCCATTTAATATTACAATTGACACCAGACATAGCCACTACACAGATGCAACAAGTTCGGTAACTTTCCAAATTCATTGTTGTACCGGAACCCATAAGGTAAAATTTTCATTTACATTTTAGTAGCCATAGTATATTAAGTAGTTTCTAAATTTAGCAGTAACCCTTTTGGACTTAAGTAGTTTTGTAGTAAATTTAAATAAATCGACAACCCAAAATGAATATGGTTTTGCAATCAAGCCTTCTCTTGTGATTAATAGTCCTTTGCTTTCCCGGCTAATATGGTATAATAATGTGGTAGGTCTGGCGCCCGAGTATTCTTTTTTTCATTAATTTCGACCTATCCATTTAAAGTAAATTTCTCTCAAACTTTTTATTTTTTAATATTACAAGCTTTACTGCTTCTTGACTTACTACTAGTTTATTTAGTTATTAAACCCACAGTTTAAAATACAATTTTTGTAGAAAAAAATGTATTTTTATTGGATTATTACGACTTGTTTTACTGATGATTCGGTTTTTTAATACAATATCAATAAAATAGATTTAAAAAAAATGTTCAGACTGATAGTTTGAAGAAGTGCTTGATTCATCTTTCGATTTTTTTATTTTACAAATTTTATTTTATTTTATTACCTATGGTGTGGGTCTTTTTTTTATATATATTTATTCAAAATACATTACACCATTATAACAGGTATATACCTAATGAGATGTATGTATATGTGTATACCTCTGGATGGAACTGTACGCCGTAGAGACGCATCTGCTCGTTGTATATCGCCGCAATGAGGTGGTTCGAGGATTGCGCTCCAACGCGGAACCTCTCACCCACCTTCTGTACACTGTCGCCGTGCGTCAGCAGTACAGGCTGCAGTTTCTCCAAACGACTGTGTAAACAAATCAATAAAAAAAACTTTTTATTGGAATTCTCTTACTCCACCTTCCCCTTTCCTTCAGAGGACCACGTACGCTGGCCTACGTTGTCACTGTCTAACTGTGGCCACAATTCCAACGCGTACAAAGAAATTTGGTGACTCATTTCTTTGTCGCACTATCCGTAAATGGAATGCTCTGTCCAGTCACGTGTTCCCTCCCTCTTACATCCTGGGATCCTTTAAGAGGCGTGAGGAAGCAACATGCAGGCCGGCAGGGTGAGGATGGCTGGTGTGGCAGGTAGAACTGCTGTATCAGCTATCTTCGCGTCTGGACTTCACCTTCACTTAACACCAGGTGGGGTGGAGTCATTTGTCGGACCTATCTATAAAAGAAAAAATATCCCAGCGCAATCTAATCTTCTAATTAAAGCTGACGTTTGAGCGTACATTGCCTTATCCAATAGATTTCCGAACAAAGTATTACCCGACCAAAAAGTATTAGTATGTGCACCAAATATTGGTAAATATTTGCTCTCTGATGTCGCACTGCTTATAAGAAGAGTTGCCAGAATTATCAGCAAGTCTTTATATTTGGGTAGAAATCATCGTCGCAAACTTCAATGAACGCATCGCGGCTTGGTAGGTAATTCGACGAGTGCGATTTTGCCCATATGACCACCCCTTAGGACCCACAGTGGAGTTATATTTTGTCAAAGGAATATTTAGAATTTCAGTATCCATTACATAGGTTGACTGTAAAAATATCACAGCTATGAGGGGGTTTGAGGACTGCGCTCAAACGCGGAACCTCTCGCCTACCTTCACTACGCTGTCAAGGTGCGTCCAATTGCAGTTTCTCTAATAACTCTTTATCTTCTATTTTAATAAAACAAAAGATTTTATTTAAACTAGCAAAATGTTTAAATTGAAACTAGAAAAAACTCATTCCATAAACAGAGGAGGGGTACAAGTATGACAAATGAATATATTACAGTCATAAATAGGCTGTCTATGATGTTTTATGGCAACCTATCATTATTGTTTTGAGATAACATTCTAACCGTTATTGATTGAACCGATTGACCATGACTGTCTTAATTTATCAATGTATCTTGATGCTCTGCCAAAATACAAACTTACTTGAAGAGAGGGCACGTTGTCTCGACTTCGACTTCGTACTGTCCGTCCTCCCGAGCCTCTTTGCGCAGAACTGAGCCGCCAAATTCTTTATTCAGCATCTGCATGCCGTAGCATATACCTGCGAAGAAACTTCTATGTTTAAAAACCGGACTAGTGTGAGTCGGGCTCGCCCACCTAGAACATCGTATAGTATAATGGGATTCAACTAAGAATAGGACCGACTGGGCGCCATATTTGAACGTCATAGCTGTCAATTCAAACCAAATAGGTAGAGTGAGCATAAAAATGTTGCTATTTAATGAAACTTATTTACTAAGATTAAGTGAGACAAAACATCAGATTTTTTAATAAAATTAATTTACTAAGGTTGAGAAAGAACACAAACGATTTTAATAGTATTTCTTTATTAAGACTGTGTGAAAAAAAACATTAATCAGAATCTAGATCTTCAATTTCGCGCAACTCTGCATTACCACCGGAGAAGTTATGAATAAACATGCAGGTCACATACGAACGTGCATCCTATATGTAAACGAAAGTTTTAAATCGAGTTTTTGAACGCAACATAAAGTGACATTTCGTTGACGATTTAGGTTAAAAAAAAACAACTAATATTAATTATCAACATTTGTTATTGTTTGTTTAAAAATGTTTGGTTTTTATTCTAGAATCAGCTGAGTGCTAAAAAAGTGTCCCGAGATTTTTTTGCAAACAGTACTTTTCAAGCGACATTTGCTGATAGAGGTCATTGGCTTTCCTATTCTTATTTGAATCGCATTATAATACGCAACATAAGCCGCCGTATCTTTTTTGAAGTTAACTAGAAGTTTGATTTTATTACAGCTTCAAGGGTTCCCAGACTTGAGCATATGGTTTAAATTTGGACTCGATACCTCCACGAGTTCCTGAAATATAGGGTCTTGACGCTCTTGACAGACAGACGGACAACAAACAAAACTGATCCTAAAAGGGCTCCGTTTTTTCCTTTAAAGGTACGGTACCTTTAAAAATTGACTTCTTTTCATGGCAAAAGAATACAATACACGCTTAACCAACCTACATGGTAGAGCTTCTGTTTGCATTTACCCAAAATATACTCGTATATTTCAATTTTTTTCGTGTGATGTATGTCACTTAACATCAAGTGTTAGTGTAGCCGCACACGGGCCACCGGCCACCGGTTGTGTGGTTGGGGCCTAGTGGCCAGTTGTGCGGCGACACTAAATGTTACTGCATGTCATTGATACAACCCCTGTCAATTATGTATATCATCTTATTCAGTATCTGAAGAACCAAACTAAATGTCTGCTTGAGCTCGCATTGGTGAACCAGTAAATTATGCAACAATACTTTATTTTCATACCCTAAATCTTTGTTCATAACATCCGCATTACAAGAGTTGGATGCAAATATAATAAGTGAATATGCCACAAAATATTTTTTGTGTCTTTCCAGCTCCTCTACAATTTCAATAAGCTTCAGATGTCGTTATTTTGGAGTTTATAAACAACACTAGTTTATTTTTGTCATAACTTTTTCCAAATCATCTGAATCACTTTTATTTCATATTTATTTTTAGTTTATGATAATAATATTATGATTATAAAAATTAACTCAATCAATTGTGCAACTTCTTGTTTAACTTACCTTGATAAATTCATTGTTAAAAAAAGCTGAATTAACTTTTTTATAATATATAAATCGTAATTAATTCAACAAGATTTGCCATGCAGATTAAGTCGACAAAATACTCTATTATCAAATAAAATGAATAAAAAATATTTACAGTGCCTACATGTTTTGTAATAGTTTTTTTATAGTGTTGTTTTAAAACATTAAAGTGGGTGAAATAGTTTACCTCCAAACACGTTACACACACACTCACGCGCACATAAAATTATATATAACTTATACAGGCACACTATGATATGTATGATGACCTACATCAAAACTTGCAGATTTTATCAATCATCTATTAACACACAAATATTTGGGATTTTTGTTTTGTTATATAACATTACACCTATTTGTTTAATAAACAACATAGCTTTAACCAACCTACCTCTTAAAGAGTTCCCTCACTTTATGGACACAACAATAGATAATGCTTGCGCAGGGTACTCTTAAATTTATTTTTGGATAAAATATTTTTTAGAAGGTCATGGCAGTTCATTGAAATGCATTATGCAATGTTTCGTTTACTGCGCAGCCGAGATTGAGTTTGAAACGTCCTCTATATGTGTATCAAACACTCACCTTACATCGACACTTTTCTGCGTCGCGACTTGCGCTAACTTCACAGCTGACGTTAACCGACAGTTTACTGCGCCGCGACTTGAGCTAACTTTACAGTCGATATTTAGTTTGAATGGTATTGTGACACTCACCTAACACCGCGATTTGCGGTTACTTCACAGTCGACATTAAGTTTAAATCGTCCTCTATATTTGATACACGCACCTTACACCGACAGTTTACTGCGTTGCGACTTGCGCTAACTTCACAGCTGACGTTATGTTTCAATAACATTCTACAATAGGCTAGTTGACCCTTTTTGGAAAAAGGTTTTAAATGGTTAATTAATGTTCTATTAGACCGAAAAAAAATGTATTGTATTTTTTTTAAACCTAGAAAGCTACAAATCTTTAATTTTAAAATAGACTTTTCATGGACATACAAAAACGCTGTCGGCCATTTTAGTCTATAGATTATCTATGCTATGACGTGAACTGTCGTAAACAAAAACTCGTAAACACGTAGAAAATTACTTTTAACTGAGTTTATAATAAACAAAAACATGATTTCTAATAAATACCACGAAAAATAAAGTAATTATCATTACTGTATTGTACGAGAATATAAAAACACATCCTTGAAGACTCCAGGAAAGTTGTCGATTAAAGTGCCGAAAGAAATTAACCTACGCAACTTTATTACACTTATTCATATGTTGTATCAGTTTTATGTTTATTACTACATTGTAATACTTAATGCACTGTACTTACATAGATGCCTTGTCGTTTCTCTGCTCCGCAGAGCAGAAATCGGGGTTTAGTGCAACAAATTCACCAACCATCAATGCGTCAATTCTTGGCAGATTTGTGCTTTCTGCTTTCACAAAGCCGGCATCCATAATTAGTTTTGTCAAAAAAAAACTAAGTTTACTGTTTTTTTCTTTCCTAAAGTTAAAAGTGTTTTATGATAAATTTAGTCAGACGAAAGAATCCACCTACAGTAACACGCGAATGACATTTAGTTGTTTACCAGAAGAGACGTCAAAATCATGGCGGATGTGGCGAACAGCGTTTTTAGTGTTTAAAAAATATAGACTAAAAATATTTTTTAAAATTAAATTTCTACAGCAATCTTCTGCTTTTATGAAGTGAAATCGATATATTAAGGTTCCTTAGACTAAATACTTTAAGAAATAAACATTTATTTAATACAATTTGACATAAGTCAACTAGCCTATTGAAATACTCACCTAACACCGGCAGTTTACTGCATCGCGACTTGCGCTAACTTCACAGCTGACGTTAAGTTTGAATCGTATTCTACAGTTGAAACACTCACCTAACACCGGAAGTCCTATCTTAAATATGTCAGCGTCGTATCGAGGCGCGTCCTCCGCGTACACCGAGTTGGGCCCACCGGATATGATGATGGCCCGATAGCCGGCCTCTTTCAGGTGGTACGCCGGCGTGTCTAAAGGCAATATGTCAGACTCGACGCATAACTCGCGCACGCGTCTATCTATCACCTGTAAAATGAGTAATTTATATGAAACAAAAAGTTTTTACTATCATTAAAGGGCCTCTATTTTGTGAAGTTTAATGGCATGGTGAGGAATGTGATGGCCGTTTAAACAATTTCTGCTATGATCAAGCATTCAGATGCCTAACAAAAATTTAATATATTGGGACTTTTAGCACAAATACCTTGAAAGAACAGGAACTAACCTTTCCATATTGAGATCCTGCATCCAAAATGGCGACTTTATCTCTACCAGTGGTTGAGCCATTAGTGCTCCGGTACTGTCCTTCTGCACTGGCTGTGTGCATTTCGCCTCGTCGCCAGCAGCACTAATAAACAAAAAAATAAACTTTTAGTTTTTAAGCATTTTGATTGCTATATAGAAAATCTTTTATCACATAAATTCCACTGATCCTAGATACCTGGCTGGAATTAAAACAGCACCCTTCCATGCTTTTTATAGAAAGCAGTTAAATTTCAGGTGACTGGAGGAGTTGAAATTTTTATCAAAAAATAATAATTTATAGTTGTCAATAGATAAAAATGAATGCTCTGTAAACATAAATAAGCAAAGACATCATAACAGAATATCAGAACCAGTGACGAATGCTTTTGTTGGAGTAACAAGTACTCTAAATAGGCTTGCCAATATGAAGGTCATAAATTATTGAGCTTTAAAACAATGAACAAAGTCAGATACATTTAGATGTAGGCATCTAACCTACATCTAAATGTGTCTAACTTTATTAATTGATTTGTAGTAAGGGTAACGCTGTTTAGAAACATTGTATGTTAGCATTATTTCTTCTATATATTTCTAACATGAAGTGTATATAATGTAGAGACAAAATGAACATGAAATTGGGACCACTCCTTGTAGCATGATCACTACTACTAAAGTATATCATGGCTTTTTTTATGTTGTCTAACCGTCAAACTCCATAGTAATTTGACAATTGAGCAAAATAAAAAAAAGCCATATATAATATTATGATGCTCATGTTATGCTACGGGGTCATACCAAAAGCTAATTTAGTAAATATAACATAAGGTCTCAATTTTATTTTCAAACATTAAGAGTCAAAATTATTAGCCAAAAAAAGTAAGATGCAAATATGTATTTTATGAACTGTACTAAATTTAAGGAATAATGGAGATAGATCACAAAATGTGGTACACTCTTCTTTTCCCATGATAAATAACTTACTTTGTATGTTTATTATATTTTTATTTTAAGCATTTTTTTAACAGCTATATTAAAATTTATGTTTAAAGAAATCTATACTTTGTAAGAGTTTAGGTACATGAAAAAAAAACCTTTTTACACTTTATTGCTAATGCAACTTTTCACACTTTATTTAACTACAGTACTTTTGAATGAATAGAGGATACAATTATTTCTTTGATCTAAAATCTTATTTTGTGCATTTAAAAACCCAACCAATATACATGTAATTCACAGATAAACAATGCCTTTGTACTCAGACTTGAAATAGTGAATGAAATCATGACACTGTTTAAATTGGATTATTTACAATGTGTGAGTAAAAATATTATGGTAGTGAACAATCATTTTACACTTTATTGGATATCAAAGAGTGAAATAGTAAGAGACCACCAAAGTAAAATAAATCAAAATCTGGCTATGAAACTAACATACCTTGAATAAAAAATTTCTAAAACCAAACATCACAATGCACTGAGCACCAAAAAGTTGCATGTTCTACAATATATGACATTTTCACAGGACTAAGTACCTAAATAGTCACAAAAAACCCTACACCGATAATAATAAACAAAGGTGGACAACAATTGTGATTAGCTGGAGTTGTAATGAAAGAAAATATCAAGACTGAATGGATCTGCTCTCACAAGACGACTGTGTGTTATTTATAGAAAGCTTCCCACATGAAGTGTAAATACACACAAACATGTGTGTCAGTGTGTATACTTCACATGTCACAAATAAAATTATTATTGTGTAGACCAGTGGTTCTCAAACTTTTTAAATGACGGAACCCTTTTGGGAAGCAAAATACTTGATGGAACCCTACAATAAAACAATTATTTTTATAAGTGTATTCTATATTAATCAGCATAATAAAAGTACAATGTATCCGTTACTAATTATTATTTACTTCACCACTTGGTAAGGACAATAATAGAAAACATTAAAAAAGAAAAAATCTAACTAGTGGGAGGTATGAAACTGTTTTTTATTTTTCATCAATTGCTTGATATCAGGTTTGATGGAAGAAAGTTGGAGTCTCATATCAGCTTCGGCGTCCAGTCTATTGCGATATTTTGTTTTCGTGGCTGCGTAGGTAGAGAATCCTGTTTCGCACAAATATGTAGTTGGGAACGGGAGAAGAATATCCAGAGCCATTTGGCCAAGCATTGCATATTCATCTTGGATTCTGCACCAAAAATCATTAAGAGGCGTCGTTTTGAACAATGACTCCATACTTGTGTCTGATGACATTTCTAAAAGAGATTCATATATCTCATTTGACATGTTTTCAGGCTTTTCCAAGTTGGGTAAAAAAGGATTATGAATCCAGGAGTTCACTTTAATTTTTGTATTGTGTTCTTCGGGAAAATACTTTTCAAAAGATGCGCGCATCGAACTGAGATATTGGACCAATTCTTCAAACACATTATCTTCAAACATTTCTGAGTCGTTTTCGCTAACAAACTCAGTGAGTAACGTAAAACTTTCTATTTCTTTCTTACCAATGCAAATGATCCAAAAATCTAATTTTCTTTTAAAAGTAGTTATTTTATTATAGGCCTGAAACACTGTTGTCTGTTTACCTTGCAATGATAAATTTAATTCGTTAAGTTTTTGAAAGATATCCGCCATAAAAGACAATCGGAACAACCAAGTTTTATCATACAAACGGTCCTTCAAATTAAAAGAAGTATCTGCTGAAAGAAACATTTGTAACTCGGCTCTAAGTTCAAATAGCCTTGTTAAAGTTTTTCCCCGAGACAGCCATCGCACTTCTGTATGGAGCAGCAGTGTTTTATGTTTGCTGCCATAATCTTCACACAATAATGAGAACAATCGGGATTGTAGTGGTCGTGATTTGATAAAATTAATTATTTTTACCGCTTCATCCATAACTAATTTTAGATTAGACGGCATTTGCTTCATCGCAAGTGCTTGTCTATGCAGAATACAATGACTGGAACTACAATTAGGCGCTTTATTTTTCATTCGTGACACTGCTCCTGCTGTTTTACCTGTCATCGCCTTGGCCCCATCTGTACAAATGTCAATGCAATTGTTCCAACTGAGATTATGTTCTTCAAAAAATATATTTATTTTATTAAAAATTTCTTCCCCGGTAGTGTTTGTAAGCAGCGATGAACACATAAGCATGTCTTCTTCAAAAGAACTTTTATATGGATATCTCACAATAACCAGCAGGATAGCCAAACCAGCGACATCAGTCGACTCGTCCATTTGCAAAGCGAATCGTGTATTTTGTAGACGTGTAACTAGTTCTTGTTTGACGTAGCTTGCCAGATCATGGATTCGTCGTGAAACAGTATCGTTTGATAGCGGAACAGTAGAAAGATGCTTTGCAGATTTTTCATCAAGCATACATTTTGTTATGTCTAATACACATGGTTTTATTAATTTCTCAGCGATAGTGTGCGCTTCACCTGCTTGTGCAATGCGATAGCTAACTAAGTATGATGCCTCCGTGGCCTTTTCGTTGGTAGTTTGTGTTACATGCATCATATTTTTTTGACTTTCTAATAACTGATCTTTTTTGCGAACAAAAAATTCTTTATTCTTGTCTTTAGTCTCGGGGTGTACGGTTTCTAAATGTCGACGCAATTTGGCAGGTGCCATGGAACTATTAGGAAGCAGTTTACTACAGAGCATGCAGAGAGGTGAGCCGTTGGAATCAACAAATCCGAAACTGATATAAGATTCATCATACTTCCTTTTTTTCGTCTTTGAAACCGTCGAGCTTGACGTCGTGGCACTCGTGGCATCATCTTCTGGATCGGTGATTGCTAAATTCTCCGCGCGCATTGCTTTTGAACATTCAGCGTCATTAGAAGATGTTGTTGGAACACGTTTAACACCTTTAAGCCAACGTTCCATTCTTCTTTATTTATAATGTTACAAGTCAGGATAGTGGGGTTTAAATAATGCACAATCGTTACTGCGTATAAGAGACTAAATTTAGAACCTACAGGGAAGAAATGTATAAAACTGAGACAACAGAATACAGCAGGCAGTAAAACAATGAACACCAGTTTCTCGCTAGCGAGCTTGTAAGTAGGTAGTAACTTATCGCTCCGAACGCTAATCATCAACTGACGACGCCAACGCGCGATCGCCGCTTTTATACTTAGTCCTAGACTCGATCTCAAATATTCTCGAAAATACTCGAGTCGGCACCTTTGATAAACAAAAAGCAAAAATAAAAACAGAAATTTAAAAATAGCGTTGTAAACAATATCGACTTTATCCTTTGAAGTTAGAGACGAAAGTCGCTAGTTGACAACTATAGCGTCTAATTCAGAGGCGGCTTTTATCAAAGAGACTGAGCGCTTACAAGTATACTACCCGCTCGTTTTAAGTTTGCCGCTGGCGATAGGTATGAGTGTATGACGTTCGAAATTTTTTATTTAATTGTAACAATAAAAATTGTGTACGTTAGATATTTGGGTAAAACTATGACACATTATAAGTTTTGTTGTCACGTGGGGGAGGGTACGCGCATTCCACAGACCGGCAAACTTAGAGCGAACGCGTTGTACAAGTATAAAATTGTTGAGACCAAACTTATGAGATATTGTACCAGCTAATGTAACACAAGCTTATACAAATACAAATAAATAAATAAATAACATTCATAGCGTTTTGTCTCCGCGCGGCCGCGGAGTCCGCACAGCCGCGGAGCGACCAGAGAGAGGTGTTTTGATTTTTTTATTTCTAAATTCTTGCGGAACCCCGACAGAGGTATCACGGAACCCTAGGGTTCCGCGGAACACACTTAGAGTATAGCTGGTGTAGACAAACATAAACATATTTCATTTGTTCATATGACATTTACAATTTCTTTGTAAAATAATGTGTAAAAAGTATAAATAAATAAATCATTGAAGCTAGTTATATAGTAAGGAATTCTATTGGTTTCAGTATTCAGACTAATATACAATAGGTGAAACAAAATCATTTTTGGAATATAATTGCAAAAGTGTAATATTAATATTTGTTGTTATTGAGATATTAGAATGTTTAGACTTATTGAGTATATTCACCATCTCAAAATCATTTTTTTATAAGATTAAGCATTATTTATAATATTTATAATAGGTTAAGACCTTAGAAAAATTAAAGGAAAAATCTACAAATACAAGTATTAATAATTTTATATAATATTACTAGATAAAATTGAGTTTTTATCACCTACAGACAATAATGTTGTTATTGGTTGAAATATCAATAATTTTGGAATCATATTGAAAGGTTAATGTAATATAAGGTTATCTTTACATTCCAAAACAGATATGAAAACATATATAACCCTAAACAGAGTCTCACATGTGATGTAATATGAAAATCATAATGATTTCAAAATGAAACTGTTTAAGTATTTATGAAAAAATTGATCAGCTAAATAAATGGGATAGGAAACAAAGGGTTGCATTTATTCACATACCTTTTTGAAAATACAAAACATGTTTCCAGGTTATTAGTACTTGAATGGGACATTTTGTCATTATTGTAAAGACCAAGATGATTGAGAGATCTAACGATAAACATAGATAACAATAAGATAAACCAAGCATTTATAAGCAGAACCAAGACGCCAGGCCGGGCGATAGGATTCTGTGAACTTCTGAAATTCCCAATACACACTATCACGTTACCCACAAGGGGCCAAAACCACTAAATCTGTACGTAAATGTTTCATCACGCAATAAATTTAAACAGAACTTCACATAACTTTGTAAAAACGGTGAGTAAAAATCACATTTGACAATACTGTAAAGGTAAAAACCGGAGGCACTTATAACACAGCGGCCATCACAATTTGTCTTATTTCAAATTAGTGTTATTTGTAGCTGTAACATGGTTTTTCTAACTTACCTAAAAGAAAATATTCGTAATATTAGGAGAAATTGATCATGAAAAACACGTAAAAATGTGATTCTCCATTCAGCACTACGAATACAAAATTTTAGTACTGAAGTGCGCCAATAGATAGCGTTCTATACATTTGACGATATGATTGCGTTCACATTTAAATATTCTTTTTATTTATTTATAGATACTTAAATAATAATATAATAACTATCAAACAAGACTTAGACCAATGTAACAACACATGAAAGATTTTTTAATACATTGTAATTGCATATATTCCAATTTAGACTTAAATTTTCCTTAACTACTAAATAGAGTAAAATTTAGATTTTTAATCGAAGGTGAACGCATTAATAAATTTCGCTTGTCATTCATCTACATCTTTTACATTTTACGTAAAAAAATACTTTGAATTAAATATTTAAAACTAAAGAATGTTGCATTGCAAACTCTAATTCATTATTTGTGAATAAAAAAAAGGGACTTATTTAAAATATAACTCTTTTTTATATATAAGTAAGGAAATAGTATGGAAAAGCATAATCTATAATAAAATATAATTGCTTTTGTTGCGTGACTTGAAACATATTATGTTATACGTTCCGTGGAATGCATTTGATATTTCTTTAGAAGCAAATTGTTTCAGGTAACTTTCTTGTAATAAATGTAAATAAATTGCGTACAACGAATATATCAAACAGACATTGATGACGGGAAGATTTTCATAGATCAAGAAATCTAATTTGTATTTAATTTTACCGTTTGTATTGAATAACTGGTCAAAATGCCTGACCATTTAGGAGATGATATGCGAAAAGTAAAAGACGATAAAGAGGAGCCAGAAAAGGAAATCAAATGTAAGTATCCTTCTAACAAAATAACCTCATAAAAAAACAATTTTCAATAATAAATTGAAATGTATTTTATGGATTTCAGCTCTGGATGAAGGAGATATAGCATTATTAAAATCATATGTAAGTTTTTGTTTTAATTCCTTTTTAATTTTAAGCATGTTTAGAATGACTTGTCGATTTTTAATGTACCATTGTTTTTATAGGGACAAGGGCAATACACAAAAATTATCAAAGAAGTTGAAGAAGGCATTCAGACAGTCATGAAGCGAGTCAATGAATTAACTGGCATTAAAGAATCGGACACTGGATTAGCTCCACCAGCATTGTGGGATTTGGCAGCAGACAAACAAACTTTACAAAATGAACAACCATTACAAGTGAGTACTATCGCGTTTACTATGTTATTAATTGGTTGCGCTTCCTTAAAACACACCACCAAAGTCATAAGTTTAAAATTTCATTACAAATTGTGGTCATAGTATTAAAACATAGGAAAAATCTAACAAAGAAGCAAATCTGTTATCAACTCTAAAAATGTTAGCCATGTAATAATAACAAATATATAGGTCTTGTTTCTTTTATACACTAAATCTCCAAGATGCTGATTGATGATCGCAATTAACCAGGATCAATTAAGTCCCTCTCCTTAAAACGCATTACATTTAAACTTGATATAACTGCACATTATCAATAATTTATTTAACCTATCGAATTAAATAACAGGCACTGCACTTAAAAGTTTCTTATTTATTGTTTTTTTTTATCGAAGTGATATGAAGCATTTTTACTTTATGTTTTTATTTTGATTTGGTATTTAGAATAATTTCCTACTTGAATTTTTATGGATAGGTATTTGGTGAATGCATTAATTTTTCCTTTTAAGGTTTTTTTCACAATTCAACTATAAAGTGTTCTTCCCTGCTTACTCAAAAACACATTTAAAGGAAACGCCACTTTTCCTTAAATTATTGACCTGAATTAAATTAAAGACTTAATATAGAGAACAAAAAACTTGATCTACTCACACAATAAAAAAAAGCCATTAATAAAAAAGATATGATCACTTTTCTCTAAATTTGAACTTCAAACAGCTCTGCTGAACAATTGACAAAGGGTGCTTTATTTGTTTTTCCTTTCCACCTGCAACATGATTATGGAATGTCATGTATTATAATTGTAGGTAAGATTGTGATGAGGGTACTTTTTACTTTATTATGACTAATAATGTTAATTAAGTTGAAGGTGGTTATGATATACTGCCATAGAACAGTGTCATTCAGGCAACTGAACTGAATAAAGGATTTTGCAATAAATATCTATTGTTTTGTGTTTCCAAACATAATAGTGGTGACAAGTGATAAAAAAAAAACTAAAAATGGACAACCAAGCAGTGAAATTTGAGGAATTCAATGCACAAACAGACAATTGGAACATTTATTGGTATTTTAAGTGAACAAGGGAAACAAGCAAATTTTGTTACAGTGTGTGGTTCTCAAGTGTATGAAACTTTGGTTGTTTTAATTACCCCAAATCAGAGTAGTGACGTGACTTTCACTGAAATTGTGACTATTCTTACTTGAAATTATAGTCCTAAATTGAAACATTATAGTCCTAAATCAAACAAAATATCAGTGTCCTTAAAATTTTACGATCGAAATCAAAAGCGGGGAAATTAGCGCATTTACGAAAATTAAATTCTGGGTGTAATTTCATTGACTTAGAGAGAATGTTACGTGATACACTTGTTTGTGGCATGTGTGATGAAAAGTTACAATATGAATTTTTAAAAAAGGACAATTTGAGTTATCCACACTCAGTAGAAGCCATGTTGTCGTCTGAAAGTGCGGGACGAGATGTGCGTATGATACATGACGTGTCCATGAGCATGACAGCGGGCACTTCCGCGTCGCCACTACCGTCGGCGCCCGACGCCATGGAGGCGATGGACATTAATGCAGTACAGCCTTAAGTTTTAGTTTGATTTTGCTATCTTGTGGTGAACGCCACTTAGGAGAATGTCGTTTCGCAGATACTGTTTCGTTACTGTGAAAAAAAGGACACTTGGAAAAAAATTGTATAAAAAGAAAAGAAATATTAATTTTACATATGAACAAGAAGATTGTTTAAATGGTATTTACTGTGTATACAGTCAGGGTCGAGTGCCTCTTTATGAAATAATGGTGTCTTTGGCGGGAATACCTATTCACATGCAAATTGACACGGGACCAGGGGCTAGATTTTCTATTATCAAGGAACACACTTGGCATGAACTGAAGTTTTGTTTATCAGCAAACGCTTTACGTCCCATTACATTAAAATTACGAACTTGGACTGAGACACCAGTAAAATTATTAGGAACTATATAAGGAATCATAATATAAGTTCTGGAGTGGAGACCGCGTCTAGGCAAACGTAGTGTAGGACGTCCTCAGGCACGATGGAGTGACGATTTGCGCAAGGTGGCTGGCAGGAGCTGGATGCGAGTAGCCCAAGATCGATCTGAGTGGCGTGCATTTGGAGAGGCCTATGTCCAGCAGTGGACTATGATAGGCTGTTGATGATGATGATGATGATGAATATAAGTAAGTCGAGCGTATTGCACAAGCTCTCTGGATGCTGATGCTCTGGTGGGTCCGTCCGCGGACAAACACCTGGCGGGTGCGCGGCCATTCGGAGACGGATTCCGCGACCACACACCCGCCCTCTCGGCAAGCACTAGGGGGACCGCGTTCCTCATAGTGCGTGTCGGGTGACGGTGTAGGAGTATTGTCTGGTTTTTAGTGGCCCTGTTCAGGGCGTAGGTAGGGCCCTGTTCACTTCAGCGAGTTCCAGGGCTGGCTGAAGGTGACAGAGAGGCGTCCCACATACCTTCTTTTCTTGCCCCCAGTGGTTGAAGGACGCGTAAGGCATTTCCCAGACACTGGCTTGAACCTCTCAATATCAGCATGAATATTAATTTCTTATTTAGTAATGAACTGGCAGATCCTAATAAAATAATAACGAAACATAGAGAAGTTTTAAGGAAGGACTTCGTACTTATCGCGGCAAACCAGTAACAATACATTTAAAACCGGAAGCTACGCCAAGATTTTTGAGAGCACGTCCCGTAACACGAGAGCACGTACGTAAAAATAGAGTTGAAGCTGTAATTGACAGATTACAAAAAGAGGGAGTTCTACGTCCGACTTCCTATTCGGAGTGGGCCACACCTGTTGTGCCTATTGTTAAAAAGTCTGGTGAAATAAGGCTGTGCAGTGACTACCGTAGTACAGTAAATGAAGCTACTGAGTCAGATACTTACCCGATGCCCACAGCTAATGAAGTTTTCGTTACTGTGGCTGGTGGACGTTATTTTACGACGTTATATTTAGAACGCGCGTACATTCAAGTGATCGTCGATGGCACTACTTCAAAGATACTTACCCTAAACACGTGCAAGGGTCTGTATACAGTACATCGACTAGCCTTTGGTGTTAAAGCCTGCCCCGGTATATTCTAACGAATGATGACTTCTCTACTGGCAGGTATACCTGGAGTTGCAGTTCTAATTCATGATATTATAATAAGTGGGGAGGCTATGCAACAAATGCAGTCAAGCCTCGATGTTATATTAAAGCAAATTGAACAAGCAGGTCTAAGACTAAACAAAAACAAGTGTAAATTTGTAAAAGAAATAGTTGAATTCTTGGGGTTTGTGATTGATGCTGATGGAATACATCCAGCACCAAGCAAAGTAGAATCGATATTGAATACACCAGCACCTAAAGTAAACAAGAGCTACAAGCTTTCCTTGGTCTTTACAATTTTTATGAGAGATTTGTACCACATAAGGCGAATTTGCTTGGCATGGAAATGGACCCACGTAGAACAAAATGCTTTTTGCACAGCAAAACGTCTCATCACATTTGACCTAACTTTGGTTCATTATGACATTAATAAACCAATAATTCTCACGTGCGATAGTTCCGAATACGGTGTTGGGGCGGTGTTGTCTCATGAAATGGAAAATGGTCTAGATAGTCCAATTGACATGTCTTCAAGAACTTTATATACTCACGAAAGACGTTATTCTCAATTAGATAAGGAGGGTACTTCCATAATGTTTGGAATTACAAAGTTCCATAACTATCTCATAAGGAGACATTTTCGTATAGTTTCATCAAACCATGCCAATAACTAATATCTCATTCCTGTATTGATTTTTATATAAGTTTTGTATATTGGTTGAGGATTTCAGTTGCCAGCTTGGTTAGATTACTTTTCAATGAAGAATTACTGTTTCTTATAAAAAGGGGATGTATGTCATGTATTATAATTGTAGGTAAGATTGTGATGAGGGTACTTTTACTTTATTATGATTCATCATCAGCCTATTAATGTCCCCACTGCTGGGGCACAGGCCTTCCTATGGATGGAATAGGGAGGTTAGACCATGACCCACCACGCGGGCCCAGTGCGGATTGGCGGGTGCTAACGACTGCAGATGCAACCGGGACCAACGGCTTAACGTGCTTTCCGAAGCACGGAGGAACTCGAGATTCAGGCTACCGAGCTAAATAAAGGATTATGCAATAAATATCTATTGTTTTGTGTTTCTAAACATAATATGGAATTACATAATTTTTAACCAACAGGTGGCAAGATGTACAAAAATCATCAACGCAGATTCAAATGACCCAAAGTACATCATCAATGTGAAACAGTTTGCAAAATTTGTAGTTGACCTAGCAGATTCTGTTGCACCCACTGACATTGAAGAGGGAATGAGAGTTGGGTAAGTTTCTAGCATGTCTCTATATAAATTATCTTAGTTATTGTTAGTAAATTCAAAGTTAATTGAAAATTTTATTTATCTTTGTTTGATCTTTTTCTTATGTTTATATATATATAAAACATTTGAGTATTCACTTCACCTACATCAATTGACAATAATAAAATCTTGTGTTATGGTTATCAAACAATGAATATATGTCATTCGGAATTCTTACCAATAACTTATCTAGTAATACTTACCTGTTGTTTGAAGATGATGATGATGATGAATTTCAGCATGTGTCATACATTACTCTAAGGCCCGTATTACAGAATGACAACTAAGTGTTGATCTTTACTTGAGTACAGTTAGAAAGGGATGTCGCTATGTGCTATATATTTTGACGACCTCCGTGGCCGAGTGGTTTGTACGCCGGGTTTCATGGCTGTCGCCGACTCGAGAGGTCCCGGGTTCGAATCCCGGTGGGGGCAGATGTTTGTGTGATGAATACGAGCATTTGTACTCCAGTCATGGATATTTAATATGTATTTATATAAATATACTTATATATGTACAGTATATGTATTCTATCCGTTACCCTAGCATCCCATAACACAAGCCATAGTGCTTACTTCGGGGCTAGGCTAATTGGAGTGAGTGTCGGAAATATTTAAAAAAAAAATATATATAGCGACATCCCTTTCTAACTATGCTCAACACTAGATCAATCACTGAGAATCTGTCTATTATACGGGCCTTAATATTAAGTTTCATTAAAATGAAGTTATTGACCTCAATATCTGTATGTCTAGATAGTCAGCTAGCAAATCTAACCAAAAACTGACTTGCGGTAACTTTAAATCTATCAATACTTTAAATATATTCTATTTATTTAATGCAACATGATTGTGATATTATTCTAAGAGAGGGAGTGGATTTTAGAACTTATACCAAGTATTATATAAGTTGATGCACAACTCCCTAAAAGTAGAGTTCAAACTTTTCAGCTCATTAATGAAAGACAGTTCAATGAGATATTATGTTGAACTACAATAAATATACCTTGGAAAGCAGTTATAGATCTGTACCCTTCCCCAAACCAATATCAAATTTGGATAGTTTGCGAGTGAAAAATGTCATTGTCAGATTTTGTATGGAAAAATGAGAACTAAAAATTAGTACACATTTGACAGTGGCATTTCGCACTCGCCAACTATTCGAATTCGATATTGGTTCATGCTGAGGGTACTGTTTTCATATTTTTTCAAAATTTGTGTAGTTTAATTAAGTTTTTTACATTTTTTTTTACAAATAGTGTGGACCGCAACAAGTACCAAATTCATATTCCTTTGCCTCCGAAGATCGACCCTACTGTCACAATGATGCAGGTTGAAGAGAAGCCTGATGTGACATACAGTGACGTTGGTGGTTGTAAGGAGCAAATTGAAAAGTTGAGAGAAGTTGTCGAAACACCTTTGTTGCATGTGAGTACATTTTTTCTATACAGAGTTATAATGCGATTCAACTAAGAATAGGATCGAGTGGGCGCCATATTGTGACGTCATAGCTGTCAAATCAAACCAAATAGAGTGAGCAAAAAAAAGCTTTTATTTAATAAAACTTATTTACTAAAATTAAGGGAGAAAAAAAAATGGTTGCCTGTAAAGTCGGTTTTACGGGCGAAGATTTTACGTGACAACGTCTTTTTCTCGGTAGAATATTTATTGATATGAATATAATTAAATTGCACAATAGGAACAAGGAATTGAATGAAAATAAGAATTGCACAAATTTTAACTATAGAAATATATTTTGTTTACTAAAACATTGTACATGTAAACTTAAACTTAACACGAGAGACTCATCGTAACGTTACCGAGCGTTACACTTTTTCATAAGTGACTCCCAGCCGCAACCTAATTTAAGACGTTGTCACGTCAAAAACATCAGATATTTTTAATAAAATTTATTTACTAAGATTGAGAAAAAAAAACAAATGATTTTTAATAATATTTGTGTGACAAAAAACATTAATCAGGATTTAGCTCTACAATTCCGCTCATCTTTGCATTACCGCTGAAGTAGTTATGAATAATCATGCACTATTACTAAGTCACATACGAACATGCATCCTTTAAGTAAACGAAAGTTTTAAATCGAGCTTCTGAACGTAACTTAAAGTGACATTTGGTTGGCGATTTTGGTTATCAAACATTATTCGCCAAGGCTAAATAAATGAAAAAAAATATCAACCAATATTAATTATCAATATTTGTTATTGTTAATTTTTTTAAAATGTTTGGTTGTTATTCTAGAATTAGCTGAGTGCTAAAAAAGGGTTCAAAGGTTTTTTTGCAAACCGTACTTTTCAAGCGACATTTGACAGATGGAGGTCATTGGCTTTCCTATTCTTATTTGAATCGCATAATACAGCACAAGCTAGACTTATGTTGTTTGATTGTTACTTGAGATATCAAATCTCTATGTATACTTGTGGATCTGGAAAATTCTATAATTCCTAGAGAGAGATAATAACAAATGAAGTTCGGTTGATATATAAAAAAATCTATATTTCCAAAGAGACATAAAAAATGAAGTTTGGTTGATTTATATAAAAATTGCCAAATGCAGGATCTTTTATAATCAGTATTTTTATAAGAACTTACTGTTGTTGGTTAATTGTATATTTTTTTTCTTTTTAGCCTGAAAAGTTTGTGAAACTAGGTATTGAGCCTCCAAAGGGCGTACTCCTCTTTGGACCACCAGGCACAGGCAAAACCCTATGTGCCAGGGCTGTTGCCAACAGGACAGATGCTTGTTTCATCAGAGTTATAGGTATGTGTTAGAGATAACACTCAAGACACTGGGATATTGACTTTGTTAACATTTGGTAAATGAAATACTGAAAAGTTTTGTAACAAAACTTTGCTACTTTTGCATTCGCTTTTGAATATACAGATATTTTTTGTTACTTAAATTTAGAAATTATTTTATCATATTTTGGGGAGTAAAGAAAGAATACTGAACGTAAGTTTAGGCAGTATTTTGATACAACTCCCCTATATAAAATATTATGGCGAACATCTTTATCGAAATAAGTTTATTGATAAAGCTACTTGCTATAGGACATGTTTTACAATATTATTTGTAAAGAACAAAATTACTGCCGCGTGTTTATAGGAATAATTAATTACACTATGAATAATTTTAGATATTATGTTTGTTATGCCAAATACATATATTGCTAAGCCTTTGCCTATATGCATCACTGTCATACTCGTACATGAATGACTACAGTACATTTTGTTTAATCGGATCATTATCATCATCATCAGCCTGTTAATGTCCACACTACTGGAACACAGGCCTTCCCTATGGATGGAATAGGGAGATTAGGCCATGACCCACCACGCATGCCCAGTGCGGATTGGCGGGTGCTAAAGACTGCAGATGCAGCCGGGACCAACGGCTTAACGTGCCTTCCGAAGCACGGAGGAATTCGAGATAGAAGATTTTTGGTCACCTATCCAATGACTGACCACTGCGAAAGTTGCTTAACTTCAGCGATCGCAGCCGAAAGCGCTAAAGCGCAGGATTAATCAAGATATGCTATGTTTAAACTTTGATCTTTTAAATTGTTACACTCTTGCTACTACTTGAATGTATTTACAGGTGAAAAAGTTGTGCCAATAAAGAAATATATTAATTAATAATCCTCATGAGTAACAGTATTTTGCAGGCAAATATGAATCTAATAGCTTCAATTTTAAATTCACTTATCATGACGCTGCCTTGCAGCCTAAAGACTCGTTTACACCATGGTATAATACATGTATTTAACAAATTTTACACAAGTCTTAATTTTTCGTTCACACTCGTATACATGTAATATAATATCAGGTTCTATACATACAATAAAATGGTAGGAAAGTCAAAACTGTACATTGAATATTTTTTTAAAAGAATGCTCGGGGTCTAAAATAGATTCCGAAGCCAAAAATATAGTTAAATATTAAAATATTAAACATCTAGTATACAATACTTGTATCAAACCTGTTGGAGTAACAAACTATGTGAAGTAAATGGGTCATTAATATTAGTCAAGATACTAGTTGTCTATGCAGTGTAAACGAAAAAATGTTTTAAACAACCACAACAAGTATTGTACAAAACTAGTTTATGCCTTGTTTCTTGGTGAAAACGTGGGGGTAAGAATTACTAGAGAAAATTAATATTGGCCATCAGAGCTGCGGTAGCATAATGGTCAGTGCATTCGCACGGATAGTGAAGGTTGTGTTCTTTGTAGTAAAATTTTCATTAGATTTTTTTTAAGTTTCAGATTTAAACATCTAGCAGTTAAATGCTTAAAAAATAAAAATATAACTTCACTTATCAATTTAGGTTCCGAGTTGGTACAGAAGTACGTTGGTGAAGGTGCAAGAATGGTGCGCGAATTGTTCGAGATGGCGCGAAGCAAGAAGGCTTGTCTTATCTTCTTCGACGAAATAGACGCCATCGGCGGTGCCAGGTAACCGCTTTTACCATTCCTATTAATGTTGTTAATACATAGACCGCCTTATTAATAAATCTATACATATAATAAAATGGTAGGAAAGTAAAAACTGTACATTGAATATAGTTTTTAGAATTTTTGTCTGTTTGTCAGTATGTATGTCCGGGATAAACTCGAAAAGTACTGCATAGATTTACTTCAAATTTTTCACGAATATTATTAAGAAGTCGGTCAACATTATAGGCTACATATTTTCACACTATCACCTACAGGGAACGAGCAGTGAACCTTTATTTCTAACTAAGACCTATTCTAGACGGATGTTATCCAGCGTACCAACCAAGGTGACCTTGGTAGGAAGTTGGTTTCCATCCGCGTTATGATTTTCGGCTACACGGATGTAACCCACGCGGCAACACGCAGTCGCAAGCCGTCTTCTGGCGTGAAAACACGTATGCACTTGTATCATGCGCGGACTGTATTAATTAACTGTGTTGTAGAAATGGCTCCAAATTTGTCTAAATTTCAAAATGTGGGCTTTGCCTTAACAGTTCTGTGTGCAATAGACGACGAAAAACAACAAAAAAGAGAATGTGGATGAAACGTTGGTTACAACAGCGAATGATTCTCAGCCATTCAAACTTATGTCCAACTCCCTATACTTTTCCGAGTAATATCTCCCACGCGTTTTTTTTTGACGAGCATCTTTATATGATTCCTACGTAATGTCCCATAAGCATGGGAGATCTCTATAGAGATCAATTAGTTCGCTAGTAATATCGCGTTCGCGACTCTAGTCTTCGGACGACATTTTTTACATGCATACGTGCGCACCCGCTGACTGCCACAGCGCAACTGTCTTTGGTTGGATATAATCCGCGTTGTAATCCACGCGCTCCAACCGCGGATGTAAACACGCGCCCGTAATCCAAGGACGTTGAAGGTCAAATCAAAATTTGGATTACATCCTTCGTCTATATGGATGGCACCGGGCAAGGTCACCTTGGTTGGTACGCTAGATTACACCCGTCTGGCATAGGTCTTAACTCCACGCGTACGAAGTCGCGGGCGGCCGCTAGTGAGGAATAAGCTTAGACTAATTGCGCCGTGTTTTGTTAATATCACCTAAATGCCATTTGTCATTCAATGAACTGAGACAAAACATAGAGTAAATAAACCAAGCTTATTATTCTTGTATTAGCAAGAGGGGAGGGTTTACGTTATAACCGCCAATAAATCTACTTGGTGTTAATAATAAAATTTCAAGAAAAGCAGTTTCCGAATGCATGTTTTGTTAAATTATTTGAAATGTAAAGGCATCATACCTAACTAGAACAATCTGACTTCTATATCAACAATTTGTCTTACTTATAGAAATTTCTAGGTACCTATGCTATTTTGATACAGCGTTATATTTCTTCTGCTCTCATTGTATTTTCAATAATTTGGATTTATTTGCGTGAGTTGTCAAAAAACTAAAATATGAATAAACCAATCAATTCATGGGGAGTAAAGAAAGAATGCTAGCCCACAGCTTAGGCAGCGTCCTGATACACCTCCCCTATATTAATTTTATTACAATCAACATCTTTGTCGTCGCAAGTAAAACGCCAAAGCTACACGTTGTAAAACAGTTCAACGTAATATCCTAGTTGACTTTAATAAAATTGGTGCTCTAGCAACACTCAATGCGGCCTGAGGCACGCATGATTATACATTGTCTTTGAAGTTCGAACCAAAAAGAATAAGTCAAAGAAAAGAATTTACTCAGTGAATTTGCACACTGAAGAAGACCTTAATAGGCTATTTGACAGTATGTAACATAATTTACCAATTGTTGGCATTACATTTGATATGAATATTATTATTCTGAAAGAACAAATATGTAATAACTTTTCTATAAAATCATTAAGTTTAAATGATTTTTTTGCTTCATGGTCACGTGACTGAAAATGCCTAGGAATTGGCCAAGACTAATATGACGTCACACCCTAGTATACTTCCGGCCAAAGTGACATTACATTGTATCGTTTGACGTTTTAATGACAGTCGTGTGATGTCACACACTAGTGAGACGCCAAATAATATCCAGAGAAACGTTTTTCCGACAACTTTAAAATTTAATTTATATTTTTTTTACTGAATTACACAACAGAATTAAACATATCGACTTTTTATGGACTTCATAAACATTAGTAAATAACGACAGATCGTTTTTTAAAACTTGTTAAATACCCTATTAAGCCATAGCGGCGCTGATTAGTGTTCTAAATTGCCCTGAAATCCAACATTCGTGCAGAAGTCCGCTCTTAAATATGACTTTACTAAGAGCTCTGAAAAGTAACCTGCTAGTTTATTTTGTTTCTTACGCCATCTATATAAAGCTCAATTTGATTATATCTAGGTTCGATGACGGTGCCGGCGGCGACAATGAGGTGCAAAGAACTATGTTGGAGTTGATCAACCAGCTGGACGGTTTCGACCCCCGTGGCAACATCAAGGTGAATGGCATTATCTGCAAATCCAACCTTGTGTTTAAGACAATAAGATTTATTTTTTTAACGAAGTACCTACTACGTCATCTTGTCATTCTTTATCTGCTTTTGTTGATCTTATGAGCTGCACTACACTTACTACACACACATTTAATGTTTCTTAGAAGAATGTTGATTCTGTTTCTGTGTTGCGGTGTTTATACATATATGTAAATGTCCATTGTGGTTGGAATTGTTTATCACCCAAATAATTGTGCTTTTTTGTTTCTGTATCGCGACGTGGATTCGTGTCTACGATTATATATATATAGTTCTTCCGATTATGTAAAACATAATCAAATGCGTATTTGTGTTTGTCATCTCCAACCTTTACGGCCTGCTCTGCGTTATGCAGGAGCACGGAACGAACGTCCGCTCCGCGGGAGACCTGTCTCACGCGGCGCTCCTCTATGAAATAACATGCAACAAACACGCGGACCGGTGGCCCGCTCCGTGCTCCCGGTTAACTCAGCGCAGGCTCTCACTAAAAAGGCAGTTTTATGGGTTTTTAGGTATTTTACATATAGCAAAACCCGTTTAAGACGATTTCACAGGGACTCAACCAAAAACGCGTCTTAAACGGAAAAGCGTATTATGCGGGATAGGGGAAAAAAACGTACTACATATTAATATTTATTAAATTCTATTATTATGTCGAATTTAAGTATTGAGGTATTAAATGTAAAATATTTTAGAATTATGTACGTTATATAAAATGTAGTGTATTATTATTACGTTATTTAAAATAATCACATGTTTAGTTTGACAAAAAGATTTGAGGCACCACCAATTACAACATTTTCAACGTAATTTAACTTTTGCAGTGCGTCTTCGCTTTGATTCAAAGAAGTTACGTAGCGTCTTAAATCATAAACTGCTGATAATGACTGGGCGTGTGACAAAATCGGAGTTGACTTATCTTCTTCTTGATCATTATCACTTAGGGCATCTTCTTGTGTGTTATCAAGAGGTAATGTGTGGTACATATTGGCGATTAAGGCGTATTAAACGTGATAACGAATCGTATTAAGAGCCCTTTTACAAAATTGCACCGCTGCCGTACTAATCGGCGCGTAGGTAGATTTGCACTATTATATATTGCATTTTACGGGTGATGTTTAGAGTCTTATAAAATAATTATTAATGAACTAATTATAAAAATATATACATATTTCAGTAGTTTAATGATAGTAGATTAGTTTTATTTTTTTGATACTAATTCTATTTAATTCAATATCAAAAGACGAGGTAAAGCTGCATTATTATTTGGGAAAACTCATGGAGGTTAGATGTTTTTTTTGACAATTAATGAGATAGATAATCAAAATTCTAATACATTACGTTACAACAAAAACATATTTCTGATGTCGTAGTAATTAATTTGATCTAATTTATTGAACATTAAGTATTGAGAGATTTTTTTGTTTTTTCTGTAAACTAGCTGCAATAGAACGATCAGTACAAAAAAAGGAAAATAGTATTTGCAAATAATTATTCCACATTAACTTTCAATAGGAAGAATAATTCTACTGTTAACTTCTATTGGAAATAGTCAAAATCTTTTTTAAGGGGGTAAATTAGGCACTCAAAACTCAACGTTTTTTTTGCAAAAAATGTAAAAGGGCTCTGAAGCGTTAAGAAATGTATGAAAACATGTCTCAAGTTGCAGGGACTGACGCAAAATGGCATATTATGCGAGGAATCGTATTAAGCGTGAGCGTATTAAACGAGTTCTACTGTATTACAATAAGAAATAATTATATTCCTTACCAGGTCCTGATGGCTACCAACAGGCCGGACACACTAGACCCGGCGCTCATGCGTCCAGGTCGTCTAGATCGTAAGGTGGAGTTCGGTCTACCCGACCTGGAAGGGCGCGCGCACATATTCCGCATTCACGCCCGTTCCATGAGCGTGGAGAGAGACATCAGATTCGATCTGCTGGCGAGATTGTGCCCCAACTCGACGGGCGCTGAGATCAGGTAACATTCCTATTATGTCGCCTATGCCATAGACATGGAGAATAGACTAAGTAAGATGGATATCCCATATTATCTCGAGCTTCGACGTGCTTCAGCAGGCACGTTGAGCTGTTGTTTCCGGCTGCATCTGCAGTCTTGTAATATAATATAAATATTTTCGACACTCACACCAATTAGCCTAGCCTCAAAGTAAGTAACTGTAAGGCTTGTGTTATGGGATACTAGGGTAACGGATAGAATACACATACCGACATATATAAGTATATTTATATAGAAATACATATTAAACATCCATGACTGGAGTACAAATGCTCGTATTCATCACACAAACATCTGCACCCACCGGGATTCGAACCCGGGACCTCTCGAGTCGGCGACACCATGAAACCCGGCGTACAAACCACTCGGCCACGGAGGTCGCCAGTCAGTCAGTCTTTAGCACCCACCAATTTGCATTGAGCCCGCGTGGTACGTAATGGCACATTCTCCGTATCCCATCTATAGGGTAGGCCTGTGCCTCAGCATTGGGACATTAACAGGCGGATGGATTAAGAGACAATAAGAACCGCGCTAAAAAGTGGTTCCACGAAAACTGCGATCAAGTGGCCGGGGCGAAAAAAATGCAACTAGAAGAACTCTCATGGGATTGGTTGGGATTTCCGTTTACCATTATCTTACCCAATGATATTATTAATTAAACCCTTTATTAATTAGTTTGAGATATGTATGTATATTGTTTGTAAACCAGTAGTGATGTACGAGAGAGCGAGGCATTCTAATACAGGTATATGTTTACCTAAAAGAGTGCTTCAATAACTTTAATGTTAATTTAATTTGGTTACAGAATAAATATTTTTCATTTTCATTTTCAATGATTTTTTTTCAGATAATTGATATTTTAAAGTATTTTATATTGTCTGTGTTAGTTTGTAACTGTGTCTATTTCGTTCTAATTCGTTGAGTAAATATGCACGTAATTTTTCACAGATCGGTGTGTACTGAAGCCGGTATGTTTGCGATCCGCGCTCGCCGTAAGGTCGCCACTGAGAAGGATTTCCTTGAAGCGGTGAATAAGGTCATCAAATCCTACGCCAAGTTCTCCGCCACTCCGCGCTACATGACCTATAACTAAACTTGTGCTGGTACTGCCTTGTCCATGGTTTAGCAAGAGTCAATAAACACTGATAAAATAATATTAGACTTTTTCTTGTAACTGATAAAAACAGGTTTATGAAATGTTTAAAATAACATTTTCATTTACTAATAGCACTGTAATTTATTGTTTATGATCACGTGCTATCGATGTTGCTATGATGTAGTAAAAAGGTTATAATATTTTCGTATTTCAAAGTTACGTTCTGTGAATTAACTTACAAAGCAAGGCATAAAGATTCACCATCTCCTGAATTCCACCGTGTGATGGTGAGATAGGGTCAAAATAGGAAATAATTGTATTATGATAATGTTTGCTTAATAAAATTATATATAAATACGATAATGTTTTTTTTTTATATTTTCCAATACAACCAACTCTGTATTTTTTACAGACATTACCTACGCACATAATCTTTGAAAAAATACAGAATTGGTTGTGTAGCAAGTAGCAACTGCGCAACGTCCATTAACATTATAAGCACAGCAATTTGACTGAATGAAAAATACACCTGAATATCAGAAGGGACCGAAACTTAAGATTAAAACAAAAAGGGTAGATACCGTACGCTCATACTAGCATGAAATAAAATATGATCCGACCAACTACATAAGCAATTATCACACACGCACACGTCTGTATATAAACATTCAGTCGAGCGAGCGAGACAGAACTATACGCTTCAACGCAGCGTATTGTTGTCCTATTCTTGATAATAAAATGGCGATTACGTAAATAACATTCACGACAAACCGTGATTTTTGAGAAATTTTTTTCATAAGCAAACCGTAATCTTAGAGAAAATAAAATCAAAAAAATCTTTTTATAAGCATTGAAGGCATTGTTTTGTCTTCATAACAGAATATACGCAATATTGTTATATTGAGTGCACATGCAGCGTGTTTGAATGTCCAATTGTGACTAAAGCGAATTATGGTCATGCAACACAATCTAAGCGGGTCACTTTTGCGCCGCGAGTGCCGTATTTTTCCTTTTTGTTTTAATCTCCTTAGATTAAAACGAAACGAACGAACGAAACGAAAATCTGACAATTGGAAAATTATATATTTAGCGCTTTGCAGACGGCGGGGCGGAGCGGGCCGGTCAATTTCGCCGCGAACGATAGCACAAAGTGAATCCTATACTACAACGCACACAGAGGGCAAAAAAACCGCGCCGCAGGTGCCCGGCGGGCATTGGCGGCGCGGCATGTCCGCGGCTGCCCGCCGTGGATCATACAAACCAGTTTATATGCAGTAACGCAGACGGCGGCGCGAGGCGGCTAGCACAGTCCGCGCCACGCGCTTTTTAGTGATGGACTATTCACTAGAACGAACGTCCTGAACTGACTGCCTCTGCCTGTCGTGTGCTTTGTGTACGCGGCGAGGGCAGCCGCAGACATCGACGGGCAGACGCGGTTTTTATTGCTTTGCGGACAAAAAGCCCGCCCCGCCCCGTCGTCTGCAAAGCGCCTTAGGGTGCATCCATGTACTCATTACAGAAATAAATCCCCCTACCGGGATTCGAATCTATGATCCAGTAGCAGGAGGGCTGGTGTTGTCGCTAATCAGTCGTTAAATAATAAGAGGACATCATCCCTCGGAAAATAATTTCGGTTTTGTTTCGGCAAATAATCTGTTCGGTTTGTAAACACAATCCAAAAAGTTAAATACAACATTCAATACCTAGAGCAAAGCATAGTTTCAATATCAAAAGCAAAACATTTTACGGTACCTAAATAGCAAAATAGCTTCAGAACTTCAACTCTATTGAAACATCAAAAAGTGTTCTGATATTTACATTTATTTATGTACAGAGAGCCACACTTTAAGAAACAACAAAATATCTATTGCGAATCTTAAAACAAGCCTCATAAAGCTCAAAGTCTGTTGAAAAAACTGTACTACTTTGAATGCCTTGTACTGTAGCTGTCCGCGAATATAATAAAATCTGTTAAAATAAAAATAGTGACGTTTAACAAACACACTGATGAATGAGGGTAGAAATAAAAACGCCGACGTAAATTTAATTACAGATTATGATTAGCTAGTCATCCCAGTGTGGTGTTTCTGTTATTTCCTGAAAAATTACTTTAAGATCGTTTAACTTTTATCGTAATTCGTTGTAAGTGGTGTGACTAGTGTGTTAATTAAAAACATGTCCGTTAACGTAAGTACCTTGTCTTAGTATTGCTATAGTAAATGAACGTTATAAGTACCTATCACCTATTGTATTGCAAATAAACATTTCATGTGCAATTAAAAAATATTCGCATCTACATATTTATTGTTTAATTTATTTATGAGCATTGAAGCAACTTCAAAATTATCGTATGTTTCGAGATTATTTCTATTAACTCATGATTAACTCCTTGTAGTTATAGCTGTAGGAAAAATCTTACAATAATGTAATAAATATTTATGTATACTTTAGTGAAGCACTGAAATAAATAAATAATAGATGTATGTATAAAGAGTGTACCTACCTATATTAATCTTTATCTATAATCCGAAAATCATTCTCTTCGCTGTCTGTCTGCTAAAGTTGAAATGATTATGATGAATTTTGGTATGAGGCCTTGGAAAAGAACTGGGCATAAGATACAAGTTTGTTGAAAGGGGTTAATAGGGGATGAATTTTTGTATAAGAAATTGATTACTACGCAGATAATGTCGCGGGCATCCATCTACTATATAAAAATAAGTCGGGTTTTCCTTCCTGACGCTATAACTCCAGAACGCACGAACCGATTTCCACGGTTTTGCATTCGTTGGAAAGGTCTCGGGCTCCGTGAGGTTTATAGGAAAGAAAATTCAGGAAAAATTTCAAAAAAAAAATCTTCTTTTAATCACTAAACGAAATGTTACATAAAACGAAGCCATCTGATGGCGAAACGGAGTTCGCCTGGTTTGCTAGTTAGTTATATAATTGCCTTCAATTACGTTACTTGCATTGAAAAAAGTTTACAAAAAGTTTAAATTTAAAGATAATAGTTCGCCATATCTTTATTTTTTCTCCGCTGGCAGGAAGCGTACACTGATGTTGTGGAGTTGTGTGCACTACTGCAGTGCCTGGGGTTCAGTGTAAAGTCTCTGGACACCAGTGACACCAACCTTAGTCAGGATGGGGGCACCAGAACCGTTGTTATCAATTGTCAGGTTAGTGTGTACTAAGTAATGTGAACTTTGGGATGGAATAAATTCTTAAAATTGCACTAAGTACTTTCCAGATACGGTTCTAGTATGGGAAAAGTAACTTACTTAGTTATGTGCCGTTGGGAATCTTTAATACACAACACAACGGGTGTTGTGGGATTATTTTGGAATAATTCCCGCTCATCACCGGGGGGATAAAGTTGGGTGTGACGAGTGGGAATAACAGATTTTTCGCGAATATGGAAAATACTATCGGGAATTTTCAATATTTCCAAGAGCGAAACATTACTAGAAGCGACTATTTTAGGCGCCACAGTGGTGTCCCGACATTGGATATAGACATTGTCTGTCAGTCTAACAGTACTAGTTTATCTTATTAATGTTTCCGTTACTGGGGCACACGCTTTTCTTAAGGATAAAATCACACAAGAACACAGGCCATAACCAGGCGGGAGACCCGTGCGGATAGATGATACTATGGGCTGTAGATGCAACCGGAACTAACGGTTTAGCGGGCCTTTGGCAGCATGAAGGAGCACGAGGTTTTTGGTCACGCAACTGATGAACAGCCAGTGGCAAAGTACCTTAATTTCCATAATGTGCATACTACTAGGGAGAAACTACCTCCTAATACACAGGTTAATTCATTCTATATTTTTAGGAGATAAGCTCCCTTTTGATTTGTGATACCTTTTACAATAACGATTTTTCTTATTTTCTTTATTTTTTCTATACCTACAGGAGCATCTATAGACTATACGCTAGATATTGTCCCCACTGCTGGGGTACAGGCCTTACCTATGGACGGTATAGGGATATTGGGCCATGACCCACCAAGCGGGCCCAGTGCTGATTGGTAGCTATTAACGACTGCGAATGCAGCCGCGGCCAACAGCTTAACGTGCCTTCTGAAGCACGGACGAACTCGAGATAGAAGATTTATGGTCCACCCATCCAATGACCGACCACTGCGAAAGTTGCGTAACTTCAACGATCGCAGCTGAACGCGCTAACCACCCGCGCCATCAAGCTCCTCAACTATGTAATACAGGTGGGATAAAGGGAATTTTCCACTTGAATTGGAGCACCAGTCCGGAGAAGCAACCTTTACCACCATACAGAAGAAAACAGTAAAAGAACCACTTAGTGGTGTTGTGCGCAGAACAGAGATAGAGGTTATTGTAAGTTGGTGAATAAGGTTCCTAGCCTAGAGGAGGAGGAGGCGGAAAAGATTTCTGTAAAATGAAGGTTACTTGCCCAGACGGACGCTGCAATTCGAGCGGCTAAGTGGATATATGGCTATATGCTTATCATCAGGCAGGCCATACGCTTGTTTGCTACCCCTTTAACACAAAAAAAAGTAGAAATTAAACAAATCTTAATTCCAGTCATCAGGTTTGCACGTGGTGCTGGAAAGTCCTGGATTGTCTTGCTCATGTCCCGCCACGGACCAGAACAGCGGGGTGTGGCAAGTGTCAGGAATCACTGGTGGCAAACAACTGGACAAGGTGAGAAACAAGATTATTTAACGCACTTGTGTAAAAGGAACTACTTTACTCAGCTGATTCTGTGATTTAAAGATGAGAGTCGAACGCGCGAAGGCAACTTTAGCTTTGCTTGTGACTGTTACGGCCACAGAACACAGAATGTGTTCTGTGTGAACACAAAATGTGTTCTGTGGTTGCGGCTAAAGACCGTATTATAGTAGGGAAGTCTGCGCAAAGTACTATACCGGTAGGAGTGCTTCACAAGGTGCAAGGTTGCATCGCTTAAGTTATTCTGCCTTGCGAGTAGGGGAGAGGGAGATTGAAAGTGCCGAGGGTAAATTGTTCCGATGCAAATATCTAAAAACAGAGAGATCATCATTTGTTCGTATTAGGTCTGGTGCGTTGGCAGTCTAGTGCATGCGCGGCGGCTATTAGGCCGGGACATCACCAAAGCGGAGACGAGACGAGCGGAGAGGAGATGATTTTTAACAACCAATAGAATTGTGTTATTGACATATCTCTCCACTCAGCTTCAGTGGAGATCGCTGTGCGGCGATGTGTAATATTTGTATGGCGCGATGGAAGCGGAGATGTGACGAGAGGTGTGAGCGGCGTGCAGTGAGCGGTGTCACCTTCCCCCCTCTAGCCCGCTAGCAATCCGCAGAGCCCTGCTGAGTACTGAACGCCGCGCACCCCAGCTGAAAAACATCTCTTCTCGCATTCGCATAGCACACAGCACACCGCACACATCTCTGCTTTGGTGGAGTCCCGGCCTTAAAGTTGCACCGGAGACGCGGACCTAGTAACAGCGTTTGTGGTGATCCTTTAACACCACTAAAGTAAATATTTTTGCGTTCTCACTTTTTGGTATAAAGTAAGCATTTTTAGTGTTACGGATATGGGAGTTTTTTCATTAATGGGTTCGTAATTTATCAAGAAATATAAATTTGTGCAATTTTAACACTTTGTTCAGTTTCTTTGCCATTATGGTAAAACTTAATGTTATTGGAATATAAATATGTCTAAGGTAAGGTCGTTGAAATTCTTCCAATATATAAAGTGAACATTGCAATAGTGAGAGATAGTTAATTCAATAACTATCTATATCACCACTATCGTGAGTTAGATTTGGCACTATCCTAGAACACTCATCCAGTTTCCAATCTAGAGAGAAAATATTAAAATCTCCATCAACATAAAAACTATCAACCTGATTTAATAGTAACTCAGTCTGCAGAGGGTTCAAAAAGCTCTTATATACCTACTTCATATGGCTGCGAGGGAGGTATATAGAGGCCACATATCAAATGGTACCACGCCTATTAAGGGTTACTATTTAAAAATTTGAAAAGTCCTTACAAAAAGCCGGACATTACGATAAAAGTCCGGACATTTTAGTCACAGAATGCAAACACCACCCACTTAGTTACAGTGATATTATACGCGTGGTAGCAGTCGTTCGCATCGCGAGAGGGGTGTCGTTGTTGATTTTTAAAGATGATTTATATTTTGTTTTCAATTAATTACAACTTAATAAAGATTATTTGACTTATTTGATATAACTTAATAAGTAGTTTTACTCATATTCCATCCAATTAAAAAAATCCGGACAAATTATAAAGCCGGACAAAGTCCGGACTGAGGACAAAATGTCCGGACAAATCCGGACGGATGGTAACTCTACGCCTATTAGACGAGATCTGCAATAGTACATATTCTACCTTTTGGGAAATAACCTGCTGAGCCCTGGCCACAGCAACACGGCGCGCAGCCAAGCCGCGCCGCACTGCAACCAGCACCCCGCTGCCATCCCGCTTGTTGGTTGCTACGAGATCTCGGTCGCAGCGAAAAATTACATAACGAGAGTCAATCACCATACTATCCTCAACAGTGCTATTCAACCAAGTTTCCGTTAGGATAATAACGTCGTACGATTCCGATAAAATATTCATATAAGTAGTTTGTGGTTTCATCCTTAATCCCCTACAGTTCTGATAGTAAACTGACAATTTATTAGCCATTGGTACTAATTAAAAATTTGTATAGTAGGGTAACGGCACCAGTGGTCAGCCAGGAACCAGTGGTCAGCCCTTTGCGTCGTTTATTAGTCATAAATATCACAACAATTAGAATAAACGAAGCACGTGTACTTAAATAGAAACTTTGATTCCTCATTGATTAATATGCCACACGATAGATGCGGCAGGGGATCAGGGGGGAGAAATATACTCGTTCATACAGGTGACGGCGGTTGAAAAGCGCAGTATTGTCATGTCCGCCATATTTTTTACTTCGCGTGGTGTTCTCTATATAGGTAAGAAAAAACATGTTTAATTATGAAATGTGATAGTCTTTTATGCAATTTGGCTTTATGTATTACTTCATGTATTGAATTATATTAAATTTGATTAAAAATATCGCGACCTATTTCTCTTTCGTGTTATGTGTATTAAACCTGAGAGGAATATTGACATAATATATAAAAATGCGTACATACTAATGTCGTTGATTTTCGTATAAATATATATTGATGTTTTTATGATTGAGTTCCAAAAAATAAGAATACAAATAAGTACTGTGGCTGTTTGCTTGCAATTATATTTCGGTCAGGTGTGTTTTTATTGTTTTAATAATTAAGTTATAAATAATAAGAGAGAACTTAATAATATCGTTGATTTTGATATAAATAATGCTCATTTTGATCTCATGCTTATTAATAGTTATAAGGGCTGAATACTGGGTTCATCGAGGCTGATTATTGGATTTTAGAGGCCGACCACTGGCAAAAGGTGCCATGTTTTGTTTGAATTTAAATATATATTTTATAAAGAGAAAGATTGTTATTAAAATAGGTATGTTGTTTAGAAACTATAATAAACAATTAATCCAATCATGTACTACGTTTCATTATCCGACGAATCCTGTAAAAATGCCAGCTTTCCAAACTTCAAAAAGTCGTTATGAGGCTGACCACTGGTGCCATTACCCTATTACAAGTCGCGGCGAGGACTGGGTTATGACCAGAACTAGTGCCCCAATCGCTGGGTATCCCATACCTTGTTTACCCCATTCACCACTAAGCCACAGTCTAATAATACACAGCAATAATGATGAAAAGATACCAACTACTGTATGCCCCGTGAATCTGCTACATTTTGGAGTAGTGATAGTTATAATAATTAAATAAGCAATTAAAGACACCAAAATATGATAATACATTAACACTCGACAAACCTTTTTGACACAAAATCCATAATTCATAATTTTGAGTGATTTCACCACATAAAAAAGAAAATATGTTATGTTACAGTACGCAAAGAAAGCATTATTACAGAGAAAATACTATCGACTACCGTGATAGAATAATAAGTCTGGAAAAGGACACAGTCAATAAAGTTCAGTTTTAATTTGAAAAAATAAAAAAATAATCAAAATATTCAATTAAAATCGCTACTGAATATAATTTATTAGAACATATGTGATTTGCACTTGTATGAAACTCAAACACGTATTCCGAATATACAAACTAGAAACATGTGGATAAATATTATAAATATGAATACCTATAACTGTTACTTTATTACAAAAAATAAAGATGTGGTTTTTGGTTCTACTACACCAATGGTCAAGAGATGGCGCTGCAGTCTCCTGAATCGCGCTTTGGTTCCGTTGTTCCAGATTAATAAATACTTTTGATATTATAAATATGAATACCTATAACTGTTACTTTTTTACAAAAAATAAAGATGTGGTTTTTGGTTCTACTACACCAATGGTCAAGAGATGGCGCTGTAGTCTCCTGAATCGCGCTTTGGTTCCGTTGTTCCAGATTAATAAATACTTTTGATAGGCCTTCACAATGCAGTCGTTAGCACCCACAAAATAGAGATTCTATTTCTATTTTGTTGGTAGATTTTCTTAATGTGCGTTAAACACAAAAGTAACAGCATGAAGTTGGTCGCTTTAATATTTTGTGTTACAGTGATGCGCGCGCATCTTAAAATTTCACTCTCATAATTTTTTCATAACGCGCCTAAAGAAGTATAACTTCAAAAATGCAGTCGAACATAGAACCTCCTCCTTTTTTGAATTCGGTTAAAAAAGACAACACAAATAAAACCTCAAAGACCTCACTTAAAAAAAAAACGAGAAATCAGATTTGCCACTAAGAAATGTAAAAAACAAATTTTCATAGATCCCCATTTTAATCCATGTGAAAGGCCAAATATTATTTACGGTACAATCGACCCCAGCTGCGGCATAACTTGCCCCAGCAAGGGGTCAGTTGTGCCTTACGACCTCTGTTTAAAAATATGATTCTCTTAAAATAACTATTAAAAATACACAAAAACTGGATATAAATTTAGAATCTAGATAAAATTTTATCTAAAGCCTCGTTGACACGGGGCGAGTTAACAAGCTACAAGCCAGCGAGTTCGTTAGTAGCTTGTTGTCTCGCCCCGTATCATCGAGTAGCAGATGGTAAAAAAGACGATGACACGGGGCGAGGCGAGTTTACAAGCTGCTGGCGAACTCGCTGGCTTGTAGCTTGTAAACTCGCCCCGTGTCATCGAGGCTTAAAATAGCCTAGAATTTTTTACCGTAGCATTCGTCTTGTCCGATTTATCTAGCGGTTTGACAAAATCGGCACTTCCAGCCCCGCGCTCCCCTAAATCCGAAAATCCCAGCTTAGCTCCTCTACTCTTATAGGTACTATGCTGAATATTGCACGCGATAATCATATGGTAGGATGCCGAATGAGTTTAATGAGTGATGACCGCCTTTTTCGAGACTCAATTGTGAGGCTTAGCTGTGTAAAAAGCAATCTCAAATTTCCCAGGAGTTTGGTTGCACTCTTCTCGGATCTTTACCGAAATCTCACCGTGAGCGACTGAATCGGGAGCTGCGTGAGATGATTCGCTGTATCAAGCAGCACAACGAGTCCGTCGATAACGAAAATAACAAGGCCAAGGAGAACAACAAGTCAGCCAGCATGGTGGAGCTGAACACTCCCGAGAAGAGGTAAAGTATCTACTTTTTGAAGTGAAAACTTCTTTAGCGGCGTTGTACCCTTTTTTTTGTATGGGTAAAAAATGTTAAACTCGCGTCAGGTTAAACACGTGGGCTGATCGCATCATGATTCATGACACACAATAAAATTGAAAGGTTGTTGACTTTCAGTATATTGGACAAAACATAGTAATATTTTATTTTATCGTATTAAAATAATAAGGCTCTATCTAGGACGTCCACGTAGCAGCTTTATTGCGAAGAAAATGCATTTTTTTACAGTAGATGTCGCAAGGTGCGCTTAAATGTGATTCATGTAAGTTGATTTCTTTACAATAGATGTCGCTAAGTGCGCTTAAACGTGATTCATGTAAGTTGATTTTTCTGAGAGATAAACTTTTTTAATGTAATATAAATTGTCATGTTTGTGTACGATAGCGCAATAAATAAATATTGTATTCTACCACATACATGATAGTACTTTTATACTGATAATTAAAGCAATTCGTGCAAAATTATTCCCTAACCATTCCAAAATATCAAAAATGCACAACGTTAATATTCAAGTTTTCACTTCTGCCGGCACTCCCGGAGTGCAACCCGTCGTTATTTTTATTTCGGCGTTTCCGTGCTTACTGTCGTCTTTCGGTCACTTCGTTGGATAAGTTACCGTTTTTATCATAGCCAAAATCAGACTTATGTTGGTTGGTTATGAACTAAATTTGCCGTTTAATCGCCATCCGTAACTACTTACACCCGAGAAGAAGTTCAGAGTTTTTTCTTTCATATAAAGTCGCAGTGAATTACTCCACTGATGTTGCGAGTGATCGGAGTGGGGGGCATACCTGGGGGCGTAGTCTATTCTCTGTATTCCATTCATAGGGAAGGTCTGTACTATAGCAGTATGATGGTGATGATTCAAAAATTCTGCGGTAACTAGTTACATACCTACTTATTTCTCTTATAATTTATTCTAGGTTGTTCCAACCGAAAGTGGATACCCCAACAAGATACAGGTCTCTGGACACGTTGACTACTGCAAAGGATGCGGCCGAGCCACAGCTGCCGGAGCCAAGACCGTTAGCTAAACAACTCATCGGCTATACTGAAGAAGAGATGAATGACCATAAAGCAAGTAACATGCAATAACTGAAATAAATTGATAATTACCTACATAGTTTTTGTTTACTAGGAAAAATTCCACGCGGACCAGGCAGCAGACGGGACTCGAACCCGCAGCCTTCGCTATCCGGGCGAATGCACTGACTGCAATGCAATGCAATGCTATCGCGGCCCTGACGGCCGTGTCGAATTTTCTCTAGCCTTAGGAAGGCAAGGCAGCGCCTTCTCTTCGCATTGTAGGTAACCCACTACGTCGATTTCATTCATTCATTTTCCTTTCAGCGGACTTTGATCGTTGCTTTCATGCACGTTATTTCTTTTTCGCTGGGATGTAACGTGAATAGGGATTTTTGTCGTCCCTTGCAATTTGCAGCTTGGCACCTAGAGCAACAGCTTCACTAGCTCTACCCAGGGGCCGGCGCTGATATCGGATTACAATAAAGTCCTTGACAACTATTTCTAAAGGTTTCGGTACCATAGCGGGTAGTACATCTGCCCGGATAGGGGAACGGAAGACGCAACCACTGAGTTTTTTTAGTAATAATGTTTAGGAATTTAATGTTTACATGTCGACATTTACACTCAGTACTAAGCATGGCGTGGGTGGGTCGGGTTTCAACTATTTCTTCACAATGTATCCCGCTGCCGCTCGTGCTTTATGTATAGTCGTTCAGACTTGGGTTTTTTCAATGTAATAAATATATCTTTATATATATAATTCTTCTGTGAGTGTGTATGTCACTGAACTTCTCTTAAACGACTGGACCGATTTTGATGATTTTTTTTGTGTGTGTTCAAGGGGATCTAAGAATGGTTTAGATTCACAATTTTGTCCGCTGGACAACCCCTATTTTTTTAGGGCGGTACGAAGTTCGCTGGGTCAGCTAGTATATATATACAACTATGTATATTGTTAAAGTTTTGGTTTTGTATTGACTTTTATTGTGAAATTTCAGATTATGTGCCGCCGACAGAGTACATACACGTTGTCTTCGACGCCAGGTAGCGTAAGGCGACGCAACAAAACATCGAGGTAATCGTCAAATCATTTAAAATTAATAATATAATGTAATTTAAACACTCTTTGGACGGGTATAAAACGCCATTTATACTTTCAAAGAGTCTTTTATTGCATGATGGTGTGCAGACCCCTCTTTCCCAGTGGGCACTTTGGTGAAGTGCAAGGGCCCCGCGATTGGTAGAGGCCTCCCTCAGATCAAATACAAAGTCCCTAGTTCCTGTCAGATCACCAAACGATAAGTAATATTCATTACCAAAAAACTTACATAATTCGATGAAATCGAACCTAAATTACTGACTACAATACCAACTTCATAGCTTTTACATAGGCGAAGCTATTCTACTTTCGCCCAAAAATTTGGCTTTCCGATTTCAGCATGCTTCGATAAATTTAAATATATATATATATATATAATGGAATGTTAAGCATAATACATATTTTAAAGAAAAATCATTAGTAGTACACTCATCAGTATGACTCGCCCCATTTCAAGTCATAATCCACATCGAAGTCATAGTCATTATCCTAATATGCCCGGGGCCTCCAATAGGTTAAAGACGGCCCTGATGGTGTGTGTGAAAGCATAAAAAATTAATACCTAAATACTAATAATGTAATTGAAACCAGCATAAGTATTAAGTTACGTGGGTGGTTTACTTATCAGTAGATATACTATTTATTGAAGACCAAGAACAGACCAAAGTGGACTAGTGGGTAGTTGGTCGTGTTCTCTATTTGGGTAATGACCAAGTTTACCAAGTTAATGTACCTATGTCGTTATTTTATTGTTGAGTATAAATATTTTTCAGTCCGATACAGAATCAACAAAGCACGTTACTAGAAAGTTTAATAGAAGCCGAAAAGGTAGCCGAGAATCTGAGAAACAAGCTGGCGTTTGTTATAAAAGAATACGTAGAGGAGGGGAAATGTGACTCTTCTATGTCATCTTTGGCTTTGGACATGTCCAGAATATCTGTCTTAAAGGTATGCATCTATTTATATAGTTAAAGGCCTTGTGCACACGGTTCTTGGCCCACTTTTACCAAAAGTTCTTAATTCAAATAAAGGCGTAATCGTGTTAATCACAGCATTCCATCTTAGTCAATTGTTTAAAGTCAAATGAAGGTAGGATGGGGCTAGGGTTACCATGCGTCCGGATCTGTCCGTACATGTCCGGACTTTGTCCTTCTTTTTAATTTGTCCGGATTTTTTTAATAAGATGGAGTATGAGTAAAACTACTTATTAAGTTATATCAAATAAGTCAAATAATCTTTATTAAGTTCTAATTAATTTAAAACAAAATATCACTGTAAGTAAGTGGGTGGTGTTTGCATTTTGTGACTAAAATGTACGGACTTTTATCGAAATGTCTGGCTTTTTATCAGGACTTTTCAAATAGTAACCCTAGATGGGGCATAAAATACGATAAGCTTTGGATATCGGTATATAAAAGACGATCAGTCGATAAATTTGTATGAGCTATCCACAAAGTTTACTTATTGATAGTGCACAAGTTGCTAAGCAATAGTACTTAAATATTTTCTTACCTATGCCCCTCTAGCATGACTACCGAAACGGGATATGATAGCGATATATCGGCATTAACTGTCAGACTACTGTCAAACTCCATTGTAGTCTGACAGTTAATGCCGATATATCGCTTTATCATATCCCGTTTCGGTGGTCATACTAGAAGGGCTCGTATGGTCAACATCATATACCTATTACAACAACGCATATGGTTAGCCTGAGGAGCTCGATGGCGCAAGTGGTTAGCGCGTTCGGCTGTGATCGTTGAACATAAGCAACTTTCGCAGTGGTCTCTCATTGGATGGGTGACCAAAAATTACTATCTCGAGCTCTTCCGTGCTTCGGAAGGCTGTTGGTCCCGGCTGCATCTGCAGTCGTTAGCACCCACCAATCCGCACTGGGCCCGCGTGGTGGGTTATGGCCCAATCTCCCTATTCCATCCATACGGAAGTGCCCCAGCAGTGGGGAGATTAAACGGCTGATGATGAAGATGATATGGTTAGCCTAATTGTAAGCGGCCATCAAGCTCTATCTATAAATACCATGGCATATATGGTACGAGTACCTTGGTGGATGATAACGGCCCCAGTGCGTATTGGTGGGTGATAACGGACCTAGGGCGGATTGGTGGTTTTCTTTTCTATCAAGAAATCTTCAGATTAAGTTTATGATTTTCAGATCATTGGAGCTAAAGAAGTTTCACTTCAGTCGTGTGGTCCTAAGCACACTGGCTTTTTTTTTATTAATATTCTAATTTTATCTGTTTTTAGGGAGAACCAGGAAAGCAGTTTGCATCAAGTCCTAATTTATCCGGTCTGGGTAAAGCTCAGAACGATTTCACTAAAAGTCGGATCAAACGCTTCGATAGCGCATCGACGTCGAATTTGCTGGCAAAAAAACCCCCTCCGAACGAGAAGCCATCGAAACTTCGACGTTTATCCCCTAACATTTTTAACAAAGCTAAGAAGGATGGCGTGAAATCTGACAAAAATCCACCAAAAATACCAGATAACAAAAGTAGCAAAATAGGCAGTAAGTAGTCTTTGCCCATTGTTCACGTTATTTTTTTGGAGAGAAAACTTCTTTAACGGCGTTGTACACTTTTTTTTGTATGGGTAAAAAATTTTAAACTCGCGTCAGGTTAAACACGTGGGCTGATCGCATCATGATGACACACAATAAAATTGGAAAGGTTGTTGACTTTCAATATATTGGACTAAACATAGTAATAATTTATTTTATCATATTATAATAATAAGTTTTAATCTAGGACGTCCACGTGGCAGCTTTATTGCGAAGAAAATGCATTTTTTTTACAATAGATGTCGCTAGGTGCGCTTAAATGTGATTCATGTAAGTTGATTTCTTTACAATACATGTCGCTAAGTGCGCTTAAACGTGATTCATGTAAGTTGATTTTTCTGAGAGATAAACTTTTTTAATGTAATATAAATTGTCATGTTTGTGTACGATAGCGCAATAAATAAATATTGTATTCTACCACATATATGATAGTACTTTTATACTGATAATTAAAGCAATTCGTGAAGAATGATTCCCTAACCATTCCAAAATATCAAAAATGCACAACATTAATATTCAAGTTTTCACTTCTGCTGGCACTCCCGGAGTGCAACCCGTCGTTTTTTTTAAAAAAAAAAAACAAAAAAAAAGGGGTAACAATAATCAAGCATACGGACAGATCATTCTCGTTCGTCACCCCCAGCTTTGTCACAACCGGTAACTAGTGGTGTTAAGCAGGCAGTACAGCTTGTGTACCAGAGACCAGAGAGAGAGAGAGAGAGCCGGATTTAGAGGTGTGGAGGCCCTAGGCAAACAATGAAGTGTACCCCCCTAACAAAGGTGTATTTTAAAATCTCCGCCCCGTCCTCCTTGATTGGTGACTCTTCGAAATTTGGTTATTTTATCTTTGTTGTGAGTGCCTCTGGGCCAGGGCCCTTGCTCTGTTTTAAATCCAGCCCTGGGTACCCCGCGTGGAGTCCTGTTTGTAACCTTTACCATCGACAGAAATACAAAACCGCGCCACAGTGAAATAAAACTTATTTCATTATGATCAGTAAGGTAGCGGTTACTTATCCATACGGGCGCTTCAATTCCAGCGGAATATCCGCTATTACCTGCTATATACACTTTTTTCATTAGGTAACTAAATGCCGAGCTTTGGTCTTAATAATTAGTTCCGATGACTCTGAAAAACTACGTCAGCAAATAATTTTGTATTGTTATTTTAAGCATGCAAATTAATATTTTTCTAGAAAAAATTACCTAAGCAAATATTTTTATCACACTAATATTATAAAGGTGAAACTTTGTGAGTGTGTATGTTTGTTACTTCTTCACGTTTAAACGGCTGGAGCGGTTTTAATAAAATTCGGTATGGAGTTAGCTGACACCCTGGATTATCATATAGGCTACGTTTTACTGCGGGCAAATATCCTAAATAAACCGCGTGTAACACCGTGGTGCACAGCTTGTAATTAAATAAGTCGTAGTCTAATATTAAATCTGTTTTTTTAAAGGTTTGTTCAGACCGAAAATAGTAACTCCGGTGTCTAGACCACCGGAATCTAGTCCAAACCTGAGTACTGCCAAAAGGAAGTTTAACCACATCAAATCTACTATACCGAGACCAACGCCAGTCAAAAAGGAGTGATTGTCAATAGCTTCAGACGCTTTGTGAATAACATGAAATGTGTAGATTTATATTTATGGAAAAGTGAACGGCAAAAAAGTAAAAGTTAATAAATATACTAAATTGTTGACAATATATCGAACTTTTCTTTTAGTGTCGCCGCACACGGGCCACCGACCACAACCACAAAACGCCGCCACCGGCATATTTCTTGTAGTTTTCATACATTTTATATGGACTCGCCATACACGGTACGCGCCGGTGGCCGCCACACGCTACAAATCGTCGTTGCTCGCTTCGTGTGGCCCGCACCGGCCACTTAATGCGCCGATACAAAACGCCGCCACACGTCACTCACGCATTTCCCTACCCCTCTCTCCCTTACCTTAGTCGGCCGCTGTCGCGCGCTTCAGCCGCTTTAGTAGCCGCTTCTAGCTTCTCTCGTCTTCTGGCGTGTGGCCCGTGTGCGGCGACACTTATACATAAAAATCAGAATTGCAAACACGTATATGGACTGCCGGATGATGGGACTAGGAGACCATCAGTGCCTTTCCTATAGAATAGGATATGTCGTGTGAGGCGAGTCGTTTCGTACCCTAAAATATGATTGAGCGAAGCGATGGCTGGTCCATGCGTCATACTCGTGAACGGGTGCTGCCAGCGGAGATAAGTCTGCCCTAACTACTTTGTTATTTAAGATGTAAATGTCTTGTTACACCTAATAGGCGAGGAGGTACCAATCCTGAAAGCTCCGTGATCACGGATTCTAATATTTTTAATAAAAAATAAAAGTTAACGTTTAGACGAACAAAATTTGCTTGGTCGGCGTGGATTTGATTGGCCGGAAATATTTTAATTAAATTATTTATTATTAAATTTCCATATTTTTTTCCCGTCATCACGGATTTTGATAAATCTTATATAGAATTTTGTGTGAAATATTATGTTCAACAAGAAAAAATCCGGCCGACCAATGATTTTGAGCCGGAAAGGTCACGCATACCTATTTGAATGGTGTGATAAGGGGTAAAATTTATCCATCATCACGGAAACCTCTATTATTTTTTTTAATTCACACGTTTTTATGTCGTATTTATAATTATTTTGGTATGCGTGCTTACAAACTGCCGAAAGTATCGCGCATACCAAATTTTAACTCTTCGCTTTTTAACGGTTTCTATATTTCTGTAAAGAGTGAGTGAGGCAGATTTTTGGTTCAAGTTGAAACCTTGCATGAGTTCGTATCTTTCTATTCCCTACGAATTCAACATTTACCTGCCTCAAAGATACAAGTGAGGTTGTTCTACGACAGGGCTGCATAGTGTTAACTCTTTTACTCCGGTTTCTTTTCAAGTCCATAAAACTGCTCCAAGAGTAAGTGAGATAAGAGTAACATCGAATTTATGTTAAAGTTCCATAGGTCTTTCTCTCTTACTCCGAAAAGGTCACAGCATACCTACGTTGTCCTACAGCATTTTGGGGGTTCAGATCATTTCGACATTTCAGTCTGCTGTTTCCCTAGCTGTCAAAAGTGTCGTTCTTTTGTAAAGCTTACTACGCATCAGCATTCTAAACATATTTATTAATTTAAGAAAATTCACTGTTGAATATTTAAAAAAAAACATTTTTTTGGATTTATAATAAATTAAAATTGTCAAACCGTCTAATATTTGTACATCTTTTGATATTTTAAACAGATATTGATTTTTTGGTGATATTGTGTCCATTTTAGTGATATACTGACGATTGATTCAGTGTACTGTTGCGTTATAAAAGAACATTTAAAGCACTAGATCCAATCTCAGCGTTTCATCATAACAATTTCAATATGAAGTGTTTTGTGTGTGTGTTAAACTTGAATTGAACATATTTTTTGTATCAACCTTCATTTATTATATAATCAACCCAAATAAAGAATTTCCTGTATTCCCTCTTTTCCATAATAATTAGTATAATAAATAATTAAAAACTTAAGGAAGAGACCAGAGGTAGAAGAGAGACTCTAAAAGAAATGTCATCAAGTAAGTGAAATCTATAACAGTATAATCCTCACTCACACAATAAAATTTGGTATGCGCGATACTTTCGGCAGTTTGTAAGCACGCATACTAAGATAATTATAAATGTGACATAAAAACGCGTGAATTAAAAAAAATAATAAAAGTTTCCGTGATGATGGATAAATTTTACCCCTTATCACACCATTCAAATAGGTATGCGTGACCTTTCCGGCTCAAAATCATTGGTCGGCCGGATTTTTTCTTGTTGAACATAATATTTCACACAAAATTCTATATAAGATTAATCAAAATCCGTGATGACGGAAAAAAATATGGAAATTTAATAATTAATAATTTAATTAAAATATTTCCGGCCAATCAAATCCACGCCGACCAAGCAAATCTTGTTCGTCTAAACGTTAACTTTTATTTTTTATTAAAAATATTAGAATCCGTGATCACGGAGCTTTCAGGATTGGTGGCTCCCGGACTATAATATAAATAACACTATTTGTATTTATACTGTGTGACAGCAATCAAAATGCAGGTGAACAATTAATGTTTAATTTCACATTATGTAATGAAAGGTGACTTCATGAATCATCTCTGAAGTAATTTTTCAACTTGACGACTCTGTAAATAATAAAACAGGGAGAAAAAAACAGCCCTTGCTAAGTTTCTGGCCGGTTCTTCTCAGTACAAGGTCTCCCGCCGTACATTTACGAACCGATGATGGCGTAGCTTCTAGACATTCATGAGTCCTTGTAACAGCCTAAACTGAATAAATGATTATTCAGTTTGCAACACAAAACTATCACATCACATGCCTGTTGTTTACCCTATCCATCCTAAAAAAATGTCATCCGTTGTTATTAGCATCTATCGAATCATACATACATATTCATTCATAGTGTCGTTGGCCACACCAAGCGACTCTATTCGTCTGCAAGACGAAGGCAAGGGCGGATCCGGGGGGGGGGGGGTCATGGGGGTCATGGGACTAACGGCTTAACGTGCCTTCCGAAGCACGGAGGAGCTCGAGATAGTAAATTTTTGGTCACCCATCCTATGACCGACCACTGCGAAAGTTGCTTAACTTCAACGATGGCAGCCGAACGCGCTAACCACTTGCGCCAACGAGCTCCTCAATGCCTAATGGTAAGCGGCCACTATAGCCTAATGACGCTTCTGATACAAAAACTATCGCTTGCGCCGGTGTCTACTCTGACCCAATCCTCTACCACGTGGAGTCCTGGAACCTTACTCGCCGGCAGAAAAACTAAACCAAGGGGTAGTATTATTTTACTGAGGCATTCTGTAAGGTGGATGTTACTTTTCCAGACGGGTGCTCCAAATCGAACGGAAAATCCGCTATGCCCTAGCTCTCATCTTAATATATATAAATCTCGTGTCACAATGTTTGTCCTCAATGGACTCCTAAACCACTGAACCGATTATAATAAAATTCGCACACCATGTGCAGTTCGATCCAACTTGAGAGATAGGATAGTTTAAATCTCAAATTATAGTCGCAATTTTAATTTATTGCAAATTATTACTTTTGGGCGGTACGAAGTTCGCCGAGTCAGCTAGTAAATATATATATATATATATATTTGAAATGAAAAAAAATAACCATTCAGAAATAAAAAGGTACTTATTGTAAACGAAATTTTCAACTCCTAGCAGCTGGAGTTCCTTGGGAATTCCGGAAGAAGTAAAATTTACATAAATAGCATAAAGTTATGTTTTTATTATTTAAGCATTTAACTGCTAGATGTTTAAATCTAAAGAAAAGTTAAGTATCTATTTGACATTGTGGGTTACTTGCAGTGCGAGGGGATGGCGCTGCCTTACAGCCTAAGGCTAGGAAAAATTGGACATGGCCGTCAGTGTCACGGTAGCATAATGGTCAGTGCATTCGCCCGGATAGCGAAGGGTGCGGGTTCGAGTCCTGTCTGCTGCCTGGTCCGCGTGGATTTTTTTCTAGTAAACTTTTCTTTAGATTTAAACATCTAGCAGTTAAATGCTTAAAAAATAAAAACATAACTATAATTGCTATTTCTTCTTTCAAGTGTTTGATACTTGTAAAAGTATTTATTCATTTGACATTATGGGTTACCTGCAGTGCGAGGGGATGGCGCTGCCTTGCAGAATAAGGCTAGGAAAAATACGATAGGGCCGTTAGGGCCGCGGTAGCATAATGGTCAGTGCATTAGCCCGGATAGCGAAGGGTGTGGGTTCGAGTCCCGTCTGCTGCCTGGTCCGCGTGGAACTTTTTCTAGTAAACTTTTCTTTAAAATAGCATATACTTTCTAAAATAAGGGTGACCATGATTCAATGTTTGTCGGTGTGTTTAAAGTAAAACAATATAAAAAGGTAAATTATTTGTAAGTATCTTGTAACTTAATTAAATTATAAGGAAAACAATAAATAAAAAATATATATTTCCACCACTAAGGCACAGATGCATTATAAGAATTAATATTATTCAGTCGCATCAGAATTTGAGCCTGTAATTAATAGTTTTTGAACTTCCTTTTCTAAGGTATTATTATTTTTGTTTGCTGACTGCACTCTTTTGTTTGTCTTAGATTTTGAAGATTTGCATGTACTGCTGTCTCTTACCTTCCTAGAGGGTTTTGGCTCTTCATGATTTTTGTGGTCTTGTTTTGGAAACATTACATTTTCTAAGAACTCTTTGGTACACAAAGCACTTTTTTGAGCTTTCTTGGTTTTATTGATATTCTTATAATCACATTCTTCAAAAGAACTATTTACAGATTTATTGTCAGTATCAGCCTCTTTATGTAATCTGTCACTTATTTGCTTTTCCTGACTCTTTTTTGTAAGTTCCTTCAATGTATTTTTATTACTTTTAAGATCTTGCTTCCTTTCTTTCTTAGCTAGTTTGAGGCATATAGTAGCTTTTGGATATCCAGTAAATTGTTGATAGCAGTCACCTTTGTCTAAAGACATGAAACTGTTAAAGAATTTTCTTGGATGTATATCTTCACTGGTATCGTTAAGTAGAACATACGCTCTTTTCAAAAATAACTTTTTGTCTATAGGGTTTTGTAAATGGAAGAAGTTTTCAAGTTGTTCATGGGTAGTCAGTCTTTTGATTGCATTTCTTTGTACTATGTTATAAGATACCACTGCCATTACAATGAAGCATGCTTCATTGCTAAGTATGTGGTCCCATAAAATAAGCCACTCAGAACAAGTCAGCACTTCACTAAAAGCTGTTTCCATTATTTTCAGGGCATATGTTTGGCTTGTTATACCTGCTTCACAGTAGTGATTCAAGAGATGCTGATCATGTTCTGCCAGAATGTTTTCTATCATAGCCAATATACTAATTGGAGGAAAAGGTGCATACTCAAACCAAAGTTGGCAATAATTCAACAGTATAGTTGCAACACACTCAAACAATAGTAGGGGATCCTTCTGTAGCACCTTCACAAAAGGGAAAACAAATTCTGGTAGAAACTTCATAACAGCAAACAGAGGACACCAATGAGCAAGACATGATAACAGTCTCTTTAAATTTTTGAGTGTAGCAGAACTGTGAATGGTAAACTGTTTTTCTATATCCTTATATGACGGATGAATGCCTTTATCTATTAATGCTGAATAAGCCACTTTATTTCTAGGGGTGTTTAACAGTGATCTCCAAATAGCAGATCTGTACTTATCTGGGTATTCACCATATTGCATTAATATCCTTCTCAATCTAGCACTATCCATGCAACACTTCATTTTTTGCTCAACTTCAACTTTAGATGGAGAGAGATCATGAGGTATCCGTCTATGTGCTGAAGTGCAAGGGGCCTCCTCCTTCACGTTGTCACCTTTAGCACTTTGAGCCATGTCTAACACATGTGCTGAGTTATAAATGTTTACTTCTCCCAATTGCAATACACACAGGAAATATTTACCACTTGGACTGACAACGAACTTGCGAATACCAGATGATTCAGTACATATTGTGTATATGACAGTCACTGATTCTAAGTCTATGAAATTTAAAGTACAGTCACTGCTAAGAACAGCCAGTACTTTATTTGCTCCACCATCAAACACTTGGGGGATGAATGCTATCTGTTGTGCCCCAGATATGTTCATTTTTGATAAATTAATAGATTTTAAAGCTTTCCAAGTATCCATGCTGAATAAAATTAATGTGGGAGAATGACCAGACATAGCCATAGCTCGGCCATTCATGGTGAATGCAATGCTTTTCATATGTTTCAATTCACTTGGTATGATTTGTTTCACAGATTTCATATTCTCATGCTTCCATATTTGGACAGTGTCATTTTGAAAACAGGCAACAAGATAATCACCTCCAGGAGTGAACATGATTTGCTGTATTTGAGCTCCCAAATATGTATTCAGAGTGAAATACTTTGTATAATTACGGAGTTCCCAGAGAATGGCTTCTACTGGACTAGCAGTTAACAAATTATTAAGTTTGCTGTTTGAGAAGGAGATGTGTTTGACTGGTGCTGTATGACCGGCCAGCGTTAGCGATACGCGACTAGATTCGATGTCGAGAAAAGATATTTCATAACTTTTAGAATTTGCGACTACCAGTGTGCCGATTTTGTGTGGTACGAATTGGAGTGCGTTGGAAGGCCCTACCCCGGCGAGTTTCCAAAATTTGAGTTCGGTAAAATCCAGAATGAATAGATTACCGGCATTGTCGGCGCAGGCCAGTTTCTCTTGGCTGTCGTCGAAAGTGCCCGTCGAAAACCGTATTCTGCGCGTCTCCCCGTTGGAGCCGCGAACCGTGTGATGAAGCTGCAGGATAATTCCATCCTTTGGTTTCGATTTAAGCTTGATGTCGAACTTTTCAACACTATCTTTATCACTTCGTTTTTCTTGTTCCATCTACAGATATATATCTAAAGAAGTACCTAAATAATAAGCCAATATCTACTAATTTACAACATCCTTAGCTTTTTCTCTACAATCAAAGATGAATTTAAATATTTATTTTATAATTTAGCGGAGTGATTGAGCTTTTAAATCAAAACAAACAAAAATATCGTCATAACAACTGACACTGTCAATGTCACTTAGTGATGGGACGCGATCCCATCCAAATTGATTCGAATGAAGTCAATTCAAACTCATACAAACATTAAGCTGCTTGTTTTTTTTTTTCAAATTGACAGATTTATAACGATACAAAATTTTTAATTCTGATTTTATTTTAATCGAAATACATACATAATTCTGTTTTCTTAAACAAAAATGTTTGCTATCTCTTAATTTTAAACTATTTCAAGTACAGTCAGAAATCGTAATTTATCTGATTATTCATAACTTTGAGCCATACGTTACTTATATGTCTGTGTAATAATTTATACATAACCAATTGTTTTACCTCCTTTAAAATATAATAATAGTGCGAGTATGACAGGTTGTTTGTCAAATTGATAGCTTTATAATTAAAAGAATATTTCGACTAAAATTTTTGATTATTTTCCTTAAATTTAAATAATTTAATTTACAAAATGTCTGTCAATTCTAAAATCATAACGATTGGAATCATGGTTTAATTCAAATCGACAAATCAAATAACCTACGGGTAATTCGAATCGATTCAAATAAATTTTTGATTCGAGGGCCATCACTAATGTCATCCATAAAGGTGAGTGCACACTTATATTAGATCCCAATGCGGAATTATTTTTCAGCTACCGGCAACAACGACTCAAATGTAACGTAAACTGAAATATAATGAAGTTTCATTAAAAAAAAACAGATGGCTGCATAATTTTTTTTGACGACCTCCGTGGCCGTGTGGTTTGTACGCCGGGTTTCATGGTGTCACCATGAAAGAATGAAATGAGAGGTCTCGGGTTCAAATCCTGGTGGGGGCAACATGGCAAACCCCACTTTCGCCCATCTTTGAACTGGCAACCATGGCTTATCGTGTACAGACAGCGTATTATGAAACTTCAATTTGAGTAAATATCAATAAAAAAACAGATGGTTGTAAATTATCAACAAAAAAGCACCTGTTCACACGTGGCAACCCTAAGGGTAATGAGGCAGCCCTTGTTTTTTTAAATCTCCACTTTTTTTTCAGATGATATACATTTTATCAAAAAACATATGGATGCAATTTGCATAGAAAATGTATGTCAGTAAATTAAATTAAAAGTATTTGCGGCTACTATTTTTAGGCAACCCATAAATCATGGAATGTATACCTACTCACTGGTCTCGATTCTGGCGTGATTCTCTAAACTTAAAACTAAATTTAACATCAGTCTCTCCTTTTCATTCTGTATCGAGATTGACAAGGATACACTGTTGTCAAATTTAAGTTTAGGTTTAGAGAATCATGCCAGAATCGACACCACTAATCATTTATTTAAATTAGGTTTCATCAAAAAAACAGATGAGTGCAGAATTTTGCGGCCAGATCTCGGGCTATGAGTTAGTTTAGCTTCTACTACAAAGTAAAGATCGCTCTCTTGTCAATATGGAAGTCCCTATTTCTACGTGATATTGTTGTTTGTCTAACATAGTTATATGATCGGTTTAAAGAAGAGTGGCAAATAAGCATAATTATGGACTACCTTCATAATAAAATTATGCGCCGGCGGCCTACTAAATATCGGTTTTTGGGAGATGGAAGTGATAATCATTGAGCAATTTACTGTTCCACTACTGCTTTATTATAACGCTACTAAGATACTTGAACCTTAGAATAAATATTATATGTATCTAAGACGCACTGAAAAGTATCGATGCATAATAAAATAAATAAATATTTCCAACACTCACACCAATTAGCCTAGCCCCAAAGTAAGCACTGCAAGGCTTGTGTTATGGGATACTAGGGTAACGGATAGAATACATATACAGTACCTATATAAGTTTATTTATATAGAAATACATATTAAACATCCATGACTGGAGTGCAAATTCTCGTATTCATCACACAAACATCTGCCCCCACAGGGATTCGAACCCGGGACCTCACGAGTCGGCGACACCATGAAACTCGGCGTACAAACCACTCGACCATGGAGGTCGTCCTTATAATTTATGCAATTAGCTTTTTAGTTACACAAATATCCAAAAAGTTTGCGAATAGGCTCCCTGATGGTAAGTGGATTCCACAGTGACACTTCTGATTCCTATCAGAGTACACAGAGTACACTCCCACGTTGGTGAAATCCTGTCTCCATCTCCTACCACGTGGAGCCCTGTGGGCCAATCGCCTAACCAGATTGCTTTGGAAAACGCTATCGCTTACGATTTTATTTTGTTATTTCTAGCCGCCTGATGTATTCAAATGCCTCGCGCTCTTTCTTTTTCTTTTGCATTGGTAATAACAATATTAAAAAAAATGAGCGTGAGGTATTTCGGCGGCTAGAAATAACAAAATAAAATCGTAAGCGTTAGCGTTTTCCAAAGCAATTTCCGATTGGCCCTCGGGAAACCTTTCTCCCCGACAGGCATCAACACGTAAGGTAGTGTTATTTCACTGTAGGCTTTTCTAAGGTGATGGTAACTTATTATTGTTGGTATTTTATTTTGAATTTCCTTTTTATGAATAAAATGTTGATACTTCTGAATTAAGCTTATTAAGACAAGAAGTGAGTGTAAGTTAAGAGCAAGCATTACGATTTGATCGTTAGCGTAAACGTTTATCTGTGTTGTAACTTTCTATACTTCGTCTAATGTTTCCAAAACTGTTATTATAATCGCGTTAGCTATTCACAATGTTACATTTACCTTCACTTGGGGCCACTTAAAGTGTCTATCGAGTCCAGGCGAAGCGTGATAAACAAAATGGAGCATCGGTTACGGCTTATGACCCCGATTATTTTCAGTCGTGGTGCATTTTCTCCGTAAACAGTTCCGTTTTTTCACCTCTCGGGGGAAATGCGAGCTAATTTGACGTAAAGTGATTACGATTACCGCGGTCCCATGGCCGGCGGCGCCGCACAGTGTCTGTGCAGACGCGAAGCGCGCTCCCGCGCTCTAGCTACTACTCATTATCAAAGAGTGACCGTTATTTTTGTCGCGCAATTCAAAATGTAACGTTTCGCCAATAATTGAAAATTTATAGCCGTCGGGTCCACTATATGACATACAATCATCACCGACTTTTCCTAGGAAAGCTGGTCGTATGAAAAAAGATACAGAGCACTGTCAGCAGCGGCGTGCCGTAGATTATTCAATATCGGGCGCGCGGCACGGGAAATCGACGATTAAATCACGCCGGAATACCTCGCTAACGAACCGTTCGCTTAATAGCGACAGTAAAATGAGTTAGTTTTCTCTGAGATTCCTCGGGCGTTTCGGCGAGTAGTCGGGCACATGCCGACGTATCGGCTGGTGGAGAGCGCCGGCGCCGTGAGTCGTATCCTGCGGGGCATAAAGATGTGTTTCTTGAACGTGCTGCGCCTGCACGTGTCGCAGAACCAGCGACAGAAGCGGCTTTACAAGCAGTATATGGAGCAGCTGGCCGGTGCCTATGTGGAAAGGTGTACGGACTTGAACTCCGCGCACTGGGACCCGAGATACAGATACAGTTATAGGATGCCGTCGCCGGAGTGGCGCTACCCTATGTCTTGTGAAGAGAACTGGTACGAAGCTGGGGGGATGAGGTCTTGCTATGCCTCAGACTGCTCGGATAGTGGTCGCTGTGTGTCCCCGTGCTGTTCTGAAGTGATCTTCAACGGTGGTCAGCACTTTAGCGGGAAGAGGACAGCTGACCTGCATGCGTGTCGCCGATATCCTATCTGCTATCCCGGAAACTTTGAGTAAGTGATTTCTTACGAACTTTCATTTTAAGAATTATAATACTGTCAGCATAACCACCAATTTATACATACTACTTAAGTGGAACGATTGTTATTGCATTTTGATAATAGAACGAAGATCCTCCATTGGTTCGATAATGAAGAAATATTATATCATCATATATATATATATATCATCTTATTCAAGACGGCTGTTGACATATTGACATCCAGTCCCCCTAGCATGACTAACAAAACGCGATATGATAAAGCGATTTATCGACACTCAACTGTCAAACTCCATTGTAGTTTGACAGTTAATGTCGATAAATCGCTATAACATATCGCGTTTTGTTACTCATGCTACGGGGGCAGGTGGGCATATTACCTATTTAACTATAGGTAAACCTTAGCGATACGGTTTCAAGTAAGAGAAATTCCTATTGAATTTATAATAAATTTTATTCGTAAAACTTTACATTTTAAACATAACAAAAATTTTATTATACCTTGTTCTATGTGAATCTAGTAATTAATTATTTACATTTTAAGTATTTAACCTCACAGTTATTCTGATAAAAACCATCTCCTCGGTCGCTGCAGTTCAGTGCAAGTGTGGGAATAAAGTACTAACTTATTGAATGCTTGCTTTTAATATTCAGTCTGCGTAAGTACATTGATGCTCCACATTCCACCAATTAGTTTTAATGATTAATTAGATTTAATAACGAGATGTGCCGGAACAGAAACGGAAGATTTCTAGAAAAATAAACTTACGTATGACATAAATAAATTACTGCTAAAATATGAATAACGTAGACAAAAGTTTTATCGTCATCATCACACTATTAATGCCCCCACTGATGGGGCACAGGCCTTCCCTATCCATCTGCGCCATCGCGCCACCGGAAATATTTTATGGTTTTCACAAACGGGCAAAAAATTATAAATAGCCCCTACCTCGGTAGGTACCTTTAAGGAATAAAGTATGACGAAATTTGACGCAAATTAGTTACCTATAGGATAAAATTACAACAAAACAGCAATTTAGAAGCAATCGATGCTTCTAATTGGCTGTTTAAAAATAACAGTGATGCAAATATTTAACCTATAGACTTATAGTATTTAGTTTCATAAACATAGGTACTGTCTACTTTGCTGCAGATCTTAAGATTGTTTTTCTCCCAGTTTAGCATTAAAATATCATGTTTCATATGTCACGCTATGGTATTTATCCCTTGCTATTAGGTAGAGTATTAAAGCATAG